ACGGATTTCCGTCTCCGGCGGTAAGGTCTTTTAAAGAAGAGCGGAGCTAACGCTAAAAACTTCTTATAAAACGGCCGTGTGTGACCGGCCCCAAGCAATTGTCCTTTGGGCTATGCGATCACGCTCTCAGGTCTTTAAGACCAACACTAATCTACATTCCTTTTCAGGTTCTTCAGGAAACACCCTTCCAAGATGTGGGGAGCCGGGAAGTGACGACCGCCCTCATACCTGTAACAGCACGCGAGACCAAATTGGTCACAAACAATTCTTTCCTACAATCCTTAAAATCTCATCTCCATGACTCACCCTCCTCGTATTTCTTTATCACTCTGCACTGCTAACACAAACGTTTTTGGTTCACAAAACATCATTCCTGGTCTCCTGAAACCCCGTTCTAAGTTACATATTGGAGCATTTAATGTCCGGACAATGTGTCAATTAGGGCAACAAGCTTACTTAGCTAGGACTCTGGAATCACATGCTATCGTTGTATGTTGTGTCTCCGAAACGGACATACAGCATCCTTGTAACAGCAATAATTTGATTTCACTTTGTCAAAATAAAGAACCAGCTCTATTTACTCTTCGTGCATTCGGAAGCTCCACTGCTGCTTCCCGTGGCCTAGCTGGTGTAGGTATACCATTGAGTAGTAGGGCAGAACTCGCTCTCTTAGACTGGATCCCAGTAGGCAGTCGCTTGTGCGCTGTCTGCTTGAACGGGATGGCACGGACTCGTAAAGATAGGGAAAATCTCCGTTGCTCCTTTGTTGTCTCTACCTACGTTCCCACTGAGTGCAGTTCAGACGAGATAAAAGATGAGTTTTTCAGAAACCTCTTGAACCTTCTTCAAAATGTTATGCGCTCTGACATAGTAATAATGGCTGGTGACTTTAATTCTCAAGTAGGTAGACTCAGTGAAAAGGAAAGACACCTGGGTAGATGTTATGGTGTCGCGGCTGGTCGAACAGATAATCGCGACCGTCTGTTGCAACTATGCTCAGATAACCGCCTATCCCTAGGTAATACTAAGTTTAAGAACAAGGAAAAACATCTCTTGCGCGGGTGACCTCCAAAGTCATCCCATCGCTGAACTCAACCAGGTCACATCGGCATCAGCCACTGATGGAGGAGTTCGATAGATTACGGTTTCTCGTTTTCGGGCACATATTTTGATTTAAATCATGCTCTGCTGCGAGCGCGTATGACCAGTCAGAGTAGAAGATATTCGTAGGTTGCTTGTTTTTGATCATAGGTGTCTCCGAAGTATTACTCGTGTATTGCGGTACAACCGAGTAAGCAATGCTGTCGTTAGGAAACGAGTAATTGGTAGGGATGGTAAATCAATAGACGAAGTAGTGAAACTCTACAATATGAGGTGGTTGGGACATGTGTTACTTATGGCCAGACCAAAACATGACAGAAATCCATGAAGTCACTGACAACTGAACTGAGCCATATTAGTAGACTACCTGGTTTGGGGTTCGCGAGATGTTAGTCATCGATGGTTAGAGACCCTGAATGACATTGCTTAAAACCGTTTGCATTGACGCAGGTGCATCCACTCTTTGTGTTCTCTGAAATTCCTCATCACCTCTATCTTTCTGTTTCTAAAGTGATTTCACTGAAGCTTACTTCTTGAATAATATCTTCGAGCTTTAATCTTCTCCATGACTGCAAATAGTTCTTTTATCTCTATCACTGTGGGTTTTGAACTAACAACCACGTCTCTGTGCTAATGTGGTATGGCAACCTTAGCTTATTTTACATACATACGAAGTTGTACGTACGTAACTGACTGACCGTTCAACTGTGTAATATAGAGTTAGTTGTTGTTATTTACACTAACTGTGAATAATCATAGGATAACTGAAAATTGGGTATTTATCCAAAACCTTTGCAAAAAATTATAATCTGCTAATGAGAATTCACAATTTCTCATTGTTGGTATCTAGACGTTTGTTACCTTATGCGCATCCTGGTAGCATCCTCTCTCAATATAGCCTTTTGTATCAAGCCGATTGGGATTTGTGTCCTTGATTTTACTATTAACCATCTATCACATCTATTGAAAACGTGTAACAAACGGCTTGCTATATCGAGGGAATCAGTTCCGGATTCACATATGACAAATTAAACTGTACGAGAATATCGACAACGAAATATTACAAATGCTTGGCTATACCTTTACATTTGATGAAAGTTTTAGTTGCTTTCTGAAAACAGTACCTTGATGGATAACGTGATAAGCACTGCGATTGATTTTCAGCATGAACATTAATTCCAGGATGTGAATATATACAGTTGATCAATCTCCGGTAGGATGAAATGCATTTTTTGAACTTCAATCCAATCTTAATTAAATAATCTAATTAATGGTTTTCAAGCGTATCACAAAAGTGAAAGAGATATAATATCAATGGTCGTTGTACACTATTGCAAATTAACTAAAATTTAAAGTAATATTTATAGGTATTATATTTTTGATATCTATAGATCTCTTGGATTACATTTAATATACACACTATTAATTAGTCTCATTGTAAAAAAAAAAGAAAAAGTAAAACAACTGTGTAATCTTAGCTAATGTGCCTCTATTTTGTCGATTATTTTCTATTCTGTGACTTATGTATTATTCCCAAAAAACTAATGCCTTGGAATCAATTTTTGGATGACATTGTTTTTTCTTTTCAGACACCTTTTAAAACAGAGAGTATAGGATAAGCGAGAGTTGAAAAAAAGGGGACTATATATATATATATATATATATATATATATATATATATATATATATATATATAAACTGATGTAATAAAATTTCTACAGGAAGTAAATCTCACTGTATTGTCTTGATTGAAGTATTATGTGATTTTTCGTGCTTTATGTATTTTACTGTGACAGTTTGCATAGTGATTTGTTAGTCTGATTTATACTTACTTTTGTTTGTACAATTTCCTTGTTATAGAAGTTTTTTATGTTACAGTATTTGTGATATATATATATATATATATATGTATATATACAATGGATGACGTAGATTTTTTTCTCATATTACGATAGAATAAATTTTAGTCTCTGTACGAAAATATAACCCATACAATGATTTATATCACTATTAAGCTAGTTACTCGGTCACCACGCTATACACAGACTAGATTATGTTTTGCCGGATACAAGATTTACGACCAAATATTGAGAATTGAAGTATTGAAGAGACATTATTCTGTTTAATTACAATCACAAGCAGTCTACACTTGAGTGAGTCTAGAATAGAAATCAATGGTAGGAAGAAAATCATAAATTTTAAACAGTTAGTAAGCTGTATCTGTCAGTTTACGCTCAATGGCCAATGAAATTTACTTTCACTGTCCACACATCATAGTCTTACGACTCTTTGATGACACATACCTTCTAAGTGTCGCATTCTTTTGAGCGACTTAACGAACGAACAAAGAATTTAGATGTCAGTTATTGGGTAGTAGGAAAACGCGGACAAATAATTTATGGGCCAATATCGATTTTGTTGGTCAGAGTAGATATCATCTATGATTTGTCACGATGTTTCTTTTGGAGTAACAGTCGGCCGCAGACATCTTAAAAAAAAATCTACGATCAAAATATCAAAATCATTCATAAACTTTCTTGACTGTTTTTTTTTTGAAGAATGTTTTCATTTGAGTAGAACATTCCATTACTATTTGTTCTGTGAGAGCTAGTGAGTGATATATGTAAATCAAAATAATTAAGTCTATGTATAATTTAAAATTAATTGTAATGATCTCAGAAGAGATTTTCCTTTTCAATTCTCTCATGTGAATTTCATGTTAGTCAGCTGAGTGCATATAATAATAATGATAATAATAATAATAATGTGAACATGAAATGCATTGATACATTAAAAATGTCAATGTTCAATGTGTTTATATATTCAGAATTTTGATTGCTCTTCAACTAGATAATAACTAATTTACAGAAAAGTTTAATTACTTTTCGGTCATTACATTTACATAGATGTGTCAACTTCATCGATGCAAATTTGCTATTAGTCATAGATCAATGAGCGTTCAAGTACGATACGATTTCCGTGTATTTTAAATTTAAATTAACAAATATCATGTTTATTCAGTGTGTTTTTAATTATCACTAATTATCTAATTAAATTATGCAAAGTACATTTTTTTTGTAATCGATCTGCAAGGCAATAATTAGAAAAAAACTTATCTTCCTGTCTGTAACTTCTCTTCAGTCAGTTGATTATAACTCAGCTAAATGAAGTTGAGGACAAAAAGTCATTTGAACATAAGGCAACAACCGAAATAAATATTTATCAATAAAAATACAATCGTTTGTTATAAGAATTACATAGCGAACTTTTGGTATTTGCAAGGATGGCTAATGGAATTATACCGTCGTCTAGAGACATTCATCAGTTTGTTAGAGTAACTAATCACTTTGATGGATCACATATATGAATCATATACACTAGCCTTTTTATATATATGTCAAAGCCAGATATTTGAGTACGCAAACCAAGAGTGGGTAGGAAGGCTTTATTGGCTAACTGAATTGAGAATAAATACACAACTTATTCATAAATATAAATCTATGTCCCAAAGAAAATAAAGTCACGTTTCTAGCTAACAGCATACGTATATTCCCTAGAAAAATGATGCCAAATCTTGATGGATAAAGTGAATCCGTCAACAAGTTGATCGACCAGAACTAGATAAATGTGCAAATACGTCAGCCGTGGGACTACCTACTGGTTCGGTGACATTTTATTGAACGTAGACCATTTCATGAAAGACTAGCGGTAAACTATGCCGGAGATTCGTGTTAACTGATTCCAACCACTGAACGCGAAAATAAATTTCAGATTCATTTCGCACTAAATTAGAAGTATTGTCAACTTTTTAATCTCTGTACTGGTTTTTTTTTAAATATCCTCACTGTCAATTATGATCAAATTCTTAATTCAATTAATTTTTATTTTTCAAAATACAGATTTACAAAGAATTGAAACTTCACCACATGGACAACGTCGTCATCGATCAAACTCGTTTAATGCATTTGTTTGTCAACAAAGTGAACAAATGGCTGGGACAATACAATTATTTCATTTATATGATGATAAGAATCCAAAATACAGTCTTGACAGTTCAATGGCAAATGAAAAGAAATTATCAACAGTTGAGAATAGAATCGACGAAATTCACCTCAGTTTTATAGATCGTCCTGTTGGACATGTAAAGGTATGCATGTGTTAACATGAGGATTCAAATCAAATGTTTGTAATTTCATTGAGTTATTCTCGCAAATTGGTTAAATATTGAAAGTAAATTTTATAATAGATTGATATTAGTTAGTGAAATGCTGGATCGCTGAATACATAGTTTATCCAAGTTTGCGTTATTTTTACCTGGTACACTGATAGTGTCATTCAGAATAGATACCTGCTCACTTAAACAGTAATCACGTGATCACTTGTAACCAGGTGTACTGGTCGACAGTTCTAGTAAGTGGCTGTCATTGGCTAAACTCATCAATGTAGAAGGTAAGATAGATATCACGGGTGTTAATTTTTCGTATTATGTGATAGCTCGAATTTATTTAAGTTCAGAGTGTGAGCTTATTGGTGCCAACTTTGTGGTTTGCAGTAATCAAAGTCTCTGCTTGACATCAGGTGATTTGCTATGAGATTGATATTGAATGTCAGTAAAAAGTTGTTGAATCGGAAATACGTTGTTAAGCATAGATCGACGAGTTCCAGAAGACTTTGAATCTGAAGTTTCGTATATTTTTGCAGGTTTGTGTCGTTAGTGAGAAAAGAGTTTCCTTGGCTAAGCTTGGCTCTATTGAGGTGAATAAAGCTGTTTCGTCGAAAAATATCATCGTTTCGTCGTTATCGATTTAAGTCACCTTGAGTTTATCCAATAACTGTTTAGGAGACAGTGCAGTAGTTGAATGAATCCACCAGATGTTTCAATATCTTTCAAATTTCTCTTGATAAGTTGTACGTTGGGGTCCCAGGGATGGATACAATTTGGCGTAGTGGAATATTAGGATTTGTGGAGTTTCGGACTACCGTAGAATCGTGGAATTACTTGTCCTTTGGATTTCATTCTTCATTGATCTTGTTTTGATATTTGTCCCGCTTTAACAAGCTTGTTTAGAGTCCTTGAGATTCAGTTGTCTAACTTTTTTATTGGGTGTGTGTCAGTTGATTTATATACGATTCTGTCCTCAAGTAGTTTCTTGGCTTTCCTGATATATTCTTCCTTGTCCCTACTTGCTGTATTGCGTCATTTGTCCAAAGGAACTATGACTATATCTTCCCTGGTTCTGAGTTTTTTTATGACTTTTCGTTGTTGTGCTATTAGTTGGTTGTCGTGTCTCTTCCGTCGAGTTAGTGGTACTTTGCTTTGTCTTATTTCTTGTTGAGTTTGTTTACTTATTCCGGCCGTTTTGAGTGATGACTTTAGTGCGGGGAAGAATTCGAGTTCCGAAGCGTCCTTCGTGTTATAGTTTAATGCTTTTTGGTGGACTTATTCTTCTGTTTCTGTTAGGTGTTGTTTCGACAGGTTGACCACACAATTGTTTGAGTTTTCTTCTGTGAGTGGCTTTGAAATTTTGATTAGTTTATTTTTGAGGATGTTTCTTCTTTGTTCTCTGTGTCGTCTGCTTGAAATCTCGATCTGAGTTGTTAATGTTGTTAAGTGTTCTGATATGAGTATTCTCTCTAGTTGTCTTTTTTGTTCATCCATATTGTGTAGGTATTTGTGGATCCTGTAGTGTGCATTGGTGGTCGTTGGTTGTACCATATATCTTTCACTTTGCTCCGCTGTTCGCCATCCCATTAGGCAGTTGATTAGTGGTGTATATCTGTATCGGATACACACCATCAGTCAGTAAAAAGTCTCAAACTAGAACGAAACAGCCACGCAGTGTTTTTTAAGAATTATCATTGACGAAAACAATCACAAGCTACAAAACACAACGGTTAATATTTAATGATAAGAGGTTCAATAAAAGCAATCTCGAATTCATGAATTTTTCGTTCATACTTGGATTTAATGACTAGGTAACTGGGTAACTTCTCTCACCAAAGTTGATTTATGAACTTGTTAACAGTTTTTATCAAATGATATATTATAATTAGCCCCAGTGGGATCAGTCAGGTGTTAATACTTCAGAATTTGTTTAACATGAAGATATTATCAAAACAATGCAATAACAGTAAATGGTCAATTCGAATTACTCATTGTTTATAAATTTTTGAAGAAGAAAACATCAGGTTTATAAGGACTGGAAAAATAGAATTAATTATAGCAAGGGGGATCATGGATACTGTTGAAATTTTAGAGACTGATCTTAGTTAGAAAGACAGTGAAAACCAGAAAGTCCATTATATGAATCCATTAGTCTAAAAGCTGAGTACACACAGCAAGAACTGTATTAGATCCCCCAGTTGGTTTGTGGAAGCATACGACTGAAAAGTTCTGTACCATGATAAAACAGCTATTCATTCTCTCTCGGTTTTCACTAGTTTACTAACTAAAGTCATTCTGTGATGTGAAACTTGAAAATCGGACTAAACTATTATGCAGTGACTTGTAAGGTTACTTTACAAATAATAATCTTCCGAATACCTTCATTAGTTTCCCTACATAGCTGTGATTCATATAAAAATAAGAATTTTTTTATTTGGTCATTTTTAGAGTTGATAAAAGTTTAATAAAAAAAATACTTATCGAAAGACTTTTTAGCTAAATAAATATGGAACATTGGCTTTCTAAACTATTTCACAATAGTAATAAAAACATTATAGTCAGCATAGGACTATTAAATGTACACGGTTACTTCTTAAGTGACTTATTATGCATTCTGAAATTTTTAAGCTCATTAACATCTAATAAAAAGATAAGCTTATGTATATTAACAATGCATTATGTTATTCTAGATGTCTGAATTCAGTTTAGGCAAATTTATTGTCATAAGAAAATCTTAATTTACAATAAATACTTGTCAGTAATTCAGGTTACATAAATTTTCATATCTTATTTTTTTTTAAACCTTTTTCTAAGTACATAAAAACTTTTCAACAGTACAGTAATGTTAACTTCATTCTGCGTTAGCTGAAGTACATATTTTTTTTGTATTTTAAAAGCTACATTCGATTATCCAACCGTTGCACTATGTTGATATGCTAGAGCGTTGCAGGTGTCTTCAGGAAACCAAGAACTTCGGTCTCATTCCTAGCTCTAGTACTCATCATCAAGGTGTACACGTGATGACTCGAAAATGAATTTTTCTCGGTATCATAATCCGAGATGTTACCATTGAACTAATCGAGTCAGACCCTATATATTTATCATACTAATACGAATCATAAAGAAAATCAGTCGTTCACACTCACTTGTTCATTTGTTGTGATTAATCTGGAACTCAACAATCAAACAAAATGTACTAATGTTTTATTGAAATTCTTAGTCTAAATATTATAGTAGTTAATAATTTTATGTTATGGAAAAAAAAGTGTCTATAAAGTATTTATTGAACTCTGTGTAGTATTCATATAAAACGCCTTAGTTTATCATTGTAAATAAATTAGTATCATCAAGTAAGTCATCAGTGTTTATACGTAGTTTTTGATACAGCTTAATAGTATCATCAATACTGAACTTTGAATTCTGATTAAATTATCATGTGTTGTTTCGCTAGAATTACTTTCCGTATAAGTGATATTAACACTATTGGTCAATTCACTTTTCTTGTTGTTGTTCTTCTTCTGCTAAGTCAGATAAATTTTGATTTGTTAAGAAGGAAAAAAAAGTACACCGACTTAATTATTTCATCACTCTCATCTTCCATTGAAGCTTTTTTTTTACCGAATCGATTATAAAGTGTAATCAGCTTTCTGAAAAGTTTTCATGAAAATTTTCTAATCAAAAAGAAAACAGCTTTAATCGCATGCACTGCGTGTATATGTGGTAGACTACTAACAGATGACAGATTCAACTAGTATGCATGTTCATTGTTGGTAAATATTGTTTGTGAATTCACATAAGAACTTTTTTGAATGTATATATATGTATATATATATATATATATATATTGTCTAGTAGGAAAGTTAAGCTCTAGAACGCGCGCTGATATATTAATATATATATAATATATATAATCAACATTGATAAAAAAATATTTATACTGTTTAATTTAGAAAAAAAACTACACTTAAAATAAATAATGAAATTAATAAATAAATACATTATCAACTTTTAATTGTAACCAATGATCACAAGCTTAAATATTTATTCAATTGCTTTGGTCGATTAACTTCGGGCTTTTAAAGTATGACATACACATCATGGTCTTTTACTTGATAACTTAAAATGTGGGAATTTTAGTCTGGATATTGTTCGTTCACCCAGCGAATTTTCAGGATTTCAATACACCTCACAATTACTCATATTTATAAGCACAGTTGGATGGTGAAAAGTCGTGAAATCCAGAACTCGTGTTTCGTTCTATTTGGGCCTCGTCGGCTGGAAGTGCCTGGAGCCTAGAATTGATGTGCATCATAGGAGTTGGATTCACTAGCGTCATTGTTCACATTTGCTTAGAAATTATTGAAAACGTTCATTTGAACAACTAAAAAATGTTCACGCTCACTGTGAATGAATGGTTTGTAGAGCGTTTTGAGTAATTTTACATTGTTTTTATCGCCTGTCGATATTAACAGCCGAGTTATAATAAATATAAAAACGTTTTCAGTTGTTTGTTTTGGTTAAAGATTGTTTAGCAGTGAGTAACTGTGACCTTTGAGATCATATGTTAAATACAGTAATATTTAAACTCGAGTTTGAAATTCAACATCCATTATTCTTCACTTACAGGTAGTTCAGAAAATATAAATCTGTAGGAATCTGCATAAGATAAAGATCAAAATAACAACTGTACACACACTAGTGATTGTCTTTTGAACGATATTTTTGGTGTTTGAAAAGTATGCTTTGACTTGATGGCGTCAACTTATCTGAGAGAAAAAACAGTTAACAAACGACGATGATACTTTTCAGTGATAGTGTTATATTTTGACATGACATAAGCTGAATTACGCAGCAGAATGAGTTACAGCTCTGTAATCGAATTGTTACAGAACATTATATGTTTGAGCCAGTGTATTTTCTAGAGTATGCAATACTAACGAATATTAAACATAACGGCGAGTGTCCCTACCTTTCCTAGTCTCATCAGCGCTGATGGCCTGGTGACTGACTAAATCGCAGCACGGATACAGAAGGCTCGATTGGCTCTTGCCGTTCGATAACCAAAGTACGAGTGTACTGCTTAGCGGTTCGCTCGGTCCTACTATATCGCTGCGAAACACGGCCGGTAATAGTAGAGGACACTTGTAGGCTATTAGTATTCTATTATAGATGTCTTCAAAGCATTGCTCGTGTATCCTGGGATAACTAAGTAAGCACTGCTATCGTTAGAAAACGAGTAATAGGTAATGATGGCGAATCAATAGAAGAAGTATTGAAACTCCATCAGTTGAGGTGGTTGGGATATATGTTACGAATGCCCAACCACCGACTTCCCTGATAAGCAATTTTTTGTGGTGTACGAGTAGGCTGGAAAAAAGCCAGAGGCGGTCAGACCAAAACATGACAGAAATCCATAAAGTCACTGACAAGTGGACTGAGTCATGTTGGTAGATGTAGGCTACCTGGTTGGGGTCTGCAAGACGATAGTAACTGATGGTTAAAGACTTTGAACGACATGACTCAAAATCGTTTGCATATGCGCATCTGAATACACTCTTTATGTTCTCTCAAATTCTAATCTTCTGAATTCCTCATCATCTTTATCTTTCTCTTTGTAAAGTCATCTCACTAATTTATACTTCTCGAATCAAATATTCGAACCCTAATCTTTCGCATTAATGCTAATACTTCTACTATCACTATAACTATAGGATTTGAACTGACAGTTGTGTCTCTCTGCTAATTTGGTATGGCAACCTGAAGTGATATACGTACGTACGTTGTAGCTGACTGACTGACTGACCGAATATTAAAGTGATGTTGAAACAACTATGCATCACTTTATTTGGTGTCAGACAGTTTCTTTTGTTATATAATTTCATGATGAAAATTATTTTCATACAGTTTTCCTAACATTTCTTCTTCATCAAGTAAGTTAACCTATAATTAATTATTTCTGATTAAAATTTACATTAAAATAGGGGTTATTTTCTTTTCTCTTTTACTCTAGAACTATATTTGGGTGTTTTGTGAAATTTTTTATTTTTCCCTTTTATTATTTTTTTTTACTTTGTTCTATAGATTAAAAATTTAAATCATTGGGATTTTAATATTTTCCATTTAAGACGAATGAGTTCCAGTAAGTTTTATGTGCTATTGCATGTTTTTTTTTGAGAAAGTAAAACTATCAATACTAATGCCTAAAGGTTTTTGTGTTCTACTCACTTGTTCTATACTTGTTGTGTATTTACTATGGACCTTGATTTACATTTGAATTATATGTAACAATGAATGAAAAGAGTTCGATAATCAATGTACAATAATTTTAATGATAGAAATTATTTGAACAAATTTTGAAATGTACTCGTAACTTGTCAACAAATTCATCAATTGTTTGCAAAATAATTCATATGAAATCAGCATTGTGTTTATGAAGTTGGTAATCCATGAAATGACAAAATGATGATGAACAGATTGAATGAAATTTATTAATTATGAGTTTACTTCAATGATTCGTTTTAATGGAATGTTAATTAAATTAAAACAACTGTGTCGAATAACTTACACTCATTAAAAATTAACTAATGTTACATGTTTGATGTATACATTAAAATGACACTTATTTACAGGTATAAAGAATTCACTTGTCTTCGCAGAATTCATATATTTCTAGAGATTTTCACTTAGATTATCAACTGAATTAATTATAGATATTAACTAAGACCATGAATAGAGCAATGCTAGACTACTATTGAAAACCTGTAGGCGCTGAACGGTTGTTTCGTCCTACTATAGAACTACTCAGCATCGCATATCCACGACCCTGATGGTCAGACATTGTAGATTGATTGAAGGTAGACATTAAGATCGCTGTATAATAGGTTAAGCTTTGACGCTCAGGACCGAAGGTCTTGGGTTCGATCCCTGTATGAGTAATCGGGGATGTGCATTTCTGAGCAGTACTATACTGCCTTCCAAGTTTCTAATAGTCGTCTAACATTGATCGGTTCATGGTTTCAATCAAATTCACCGGTCTCTCCAGCCACTTCCGATAAAAATAAAATTAAATTCGAAGTAACTACTAGTTGACTGAACTCTAGTTGTACATGAACAAGTTTTTAAGTTTCGTAAGTCGTCTTCGAAAGCTCAGATGCAATTTGTTTCAGGCGGTGTTCCAAACCATGCACTATTGTGCATCATCGATTTCAGCCACATGGTCATAATAAGTAAAGTAAATATGAGATTTATTGATCATAGTAATCTGTTCTGTTTAAACAGTAAATTGTTGAACTTTCAATTTTCTTAGTTTAACGATTACAATTTTGTGATAGACTTGTGTTGTTTAGTTTAGGTTAGTCTCGTAATCAGCCAAATCTAATGAATGGACTTTTAACAATACTAGTATTCTCATCAATGGAAATGAAACTTAGCTTTTATCATCTTAAATATTAGGGTTTTATTTATCCAAATGATTCGCAACATTTTCTTTGCTAATCTGAATTTCCGCATTTATACATATATATATATATATATATATATATATATATATATATATATATATATATCCTGATATGACCTTTTTGGGCCGCTATACTTTGGCCTATCATCCTGATTTCCCTGCTAGATAGCTTGACACATAAATCTTATTGGGTTACACGGATATTATTGTTTACACTCTTCAATCAGAAAGCAAAAATAAAAAAAAGAACCAATGTAACTTCCCTCTCTGTTACTTGCAAATTCACATGATTTAATAAACGAATTATAGGGCCGCAATCCGTCATTAGTAAGAAATTTTTTTAAACTATACCAAGGATACAAAATATGTAATAACAGGTTTGAAAATTGTCAAGAACGAGAGTTAGGTTAATGGTTACTCATAAATATTTCCTTGCTTCTCATCAACTGGCAAGACAGCCTAGATTTCTCGTTAGTGTAACTGTTCTAAATGAAACTCTACTTTAAGGTTGGTTCGAAATAGCACAGAAAAGAGACTTTGATAACAAAAACAAAACGAATTACTATATTTAACATAATAGGCATAATTAAACAATATATTATATTGTTGAAATCCATTCAAAGAAGGAAGTAGTTTCATCAATAATTAATAAGGAGAATGATAAAGAAATTGATTGATTTTTACCAGCACCTCCTAGTGATATGCGAAATTCAAGTTAACATTATGTGACAGAATTAAAAAAAAAGGCATACATTTTATAGTGGGCTAATCGCCGATTACAACAAGAGGATTGATTAGGCACGCTATCTTTCTGTAGGCGAAAACCATATCGAAAGCGCTTGATGACAGGAAATGGTGCAAATTGATTGTTTTGAACGTCTGTCTTTTTTTTTTAATGTCAACAACTTCAAGCAGTGGTACAGCATTTGAATAGTAGTCATTATTAATTTTTTTATTATTATTGATAATCACGACTTGTTTGTTTTTGTTTTGCCGTTGTTGTTGTTGTTGATGTTCTCTTTGTTCTCATTATAAAATAAAAATTCCAGATTATACCATTCGTAATATTGGCCTACAAATAATGGATGAATATGGCTTATTTCATAAATTAAAACTGAACTATTTCATGATGGCTAGAATATTTAGTAAGTAACATGTATATATACATATACATATATATATATATATGTATATATATATATATATATATATATATATATGTTAATGATTTTTTGAATTATCCACATTAATTTCATTATTGTCAGTGTTAGTATTCATTTATTGTTGAAGAATATTAAAATTGCTTTTTGACTAAACATTTTAAGCTTATTACACGCAATGGTCTATAGCTACAAGTTGTTTTTTTTTATATTCCAAATAGTGGTTATAAGTGGACAATTTCAAGCTTAATAATAGACAATTTTCTGCGAATGGCTTTGAAAAATGAATTGATTACCTGGATGGTAAACTTTTTGATTTTTAATATGTGGATGAACTTGTCTTACTATGATTGTAATTAGTCAGTTGGAAGATAGTGTTCGTGAATACTGCATGTACCCTTCTCCTTTGACATGTGGACTACTTCTACCATCTTTTTAGCGTTGTCATTATGTTAGGCTTTTTGTGGAAGCTCGTGTATACAATACAGTAGCAGTTTCCATATATTATACTTAAGCGAACTCCGTTTATGCGACGGTGGTAATAAGAAGCCGAAAACGGATTCGATTGGATGAGTTCATTTCAGAGAATCGTTCAAGCCGACACGGTAACGAAAAGCATACAAGCAAAACGAAGTGGAGTGGAGAAGGCGAGTGAACCAACTCAGTTCGATGAAACATGACTAAGTCAGACAAAAATGAGCCAGTTATGTAATAAGCAGGGTAGGTATGCATTCGCACTGATAAAAGCAACGCAGATGTGAGCGAATGACTGACATTGTCAAAAGACAAGTGGGACGAGCCCAGTGAGCTAGACATGGAAGCATTAACCACAGAGTTCTCTTAACACTTTACTGTTAATGGCTTTTTTTATAAATCAACTGATCAGGTCAATCAGTCACTCAAAAAACTCAATGCACACATATAGATATATTTTTGATTGAACCATCCTCATCTTATTGTAGATACGGAAAATTTATCGATTTTTCAGTTATTAAATCAATCGTGATTTTCCAGTAACAAGTACTTTTTTTCTTATTATTGTTAAAAAACGCACGGGCTTTCTCAACAAAGAATTAGTCAAACTGTTGAAAATGTAATTTGATATTTTATTTTAGCGTAATGATTTATTTGAAAGAAAATTAGATTTAACATTGCTTCAGGTTATTAACAATCAAATTTAGTTATCAGCATGAACAGTGTCATCAGTTAAATTTATCATGATGTATGTCCGAAAAATTGCAATACTATCCATTTACTAAAATTGAAAATACTGATTTCTTGGAAGACAGTCTCTAAAATATTTCTAAAATATCTTCACAGTACTCGGCAATCATAGTAGATTTATGCTGTCATTCTTTTCTTTTTAAGATCCTTCAATCTAATGTTATCTGTTCATCGCCACGAGTGTTATTCATCATCATTGCAATTATTTGACATAGATGAATTACTCATTTTCTTTTTTTTTCAAAATTTCACTTCAAAGATTGATTGTTGATATAGAGTAGGTTTATAATGTTCACACACTTAAATGACTCCTTCTCAGAGTCCTCAGCGCTCGGATACACTTACACAATCTGATCTACTGGTGTATTGTTCTTAAGCTCGAACTTCCTGAAAATTATTTAACCGATATATACATGCCCCTACTGTTATTTTTACTATCAGAAAATGAGTAAACGTGCTTGCCTCTGTATGTCAAGTCATAACAATATTTGGATGAAAAAATCTCGAAAAAAATGATATTTATTAAAATGATTGCATTACTTTTATTTCTAATTCATTTCTTCGAAAATGATATCATTTCGTGATTAGTAGTGAATTATGCCTAATTTCTAAAAGCATTGAATAAATCTACATCATATGATCGGCTTCTTTTTTTTCTGCTCTTCTCCGCTACACACACACACACACACTAATGTACACTTGTATTTGACCTACAAACAAATGCCAACTGAAATAAATTGTAGTTTTTCTAGGTCATTTCTAAGAATGTCGAATAAAAATCCCACTAAAATTAAGCACAATTAGTTAGAATCAGGGTGAAAAAAAGATGTATAGCTTACTGCTGCGTGTGCGCGTATGCGTTGTTGACCGTATTAGTCAACACACACACACGCATACAAATACACACATACATAATTATTGTTTTTCCTAAACCTTTTAACATCGTAAATGTTTACGTTTTTCCTTCTGTTAATTCTTGCAAACAGATAGATATGACAACATTTTGAAGCATCAGCTGACTAAAACAAAATTCTTAACATAATTATGATATATTTATTTTCCTTTTTTTAAAAAAAACGAAGCTTTTAACAAAATAAAATGATTGGAATTGAAAATGAAAAAGCCATGTTGAATTTCTGTACTCAGAAACTATGAGTTCCTCTATATGATATTCGTCACCTTTCCAATCAATTTGTACGACATAACAGTATTGTTGAAATCATGAACCAACCATTGTTAGATCAACCTTAGAAACATGGAAGTTCTGGATGGCCGTTTCGTCCTAGTATAGCACTCTTCAGTAGTAGGCATCCACGACCCTAACTCGCCGGAGTCGAACCGAAAGCCTTCTGTTTTGAACGCTATTGCTTAGCCTCTATACCACAAACACCATCGGATGCCGGTGAATAGTAACCAGTATCAAACGTATCTAGTCTTCAGTGCTGGTTGAATCATATCGAACGAGTAACAATGTAGTTACTGGTCTAAATGACTTGACGTCGCATGGATGTTAGGTCGGAGAAAGTAGTTGATTGAATGCTTCGGACCGATTCAAACTTATATCACTAAATATCGCAAGTGCATGGCTTTCTGTAGGCACCCGCTACGTACCTGATAACATAAAAACTCATATTTTGTAGATTTAAGTTTATTCACTGAGATCATGTTTCCCTTTTTATCGTTTGGTTTATTCAAGATTGTTACCCATCAAGTCATCCCAATCAATTCATATCACCTATTTACTTACTTATGCCTGTTACCCCCAGTGGAAGCATATTATTACAGTGCAATTCTAACTATGAAATTTCCATTTAATATTTATTGTTTAACTTTCAAGTTTGATAAAAACTTTTCCGTATTTATATATATATATATATATATACAGTAAAATGAATTAGTTAGAAGATTAAAGCTAATTTTAATTGTATAGTTGACAGTATATGATTATTGTTTGATGTTGTTGACAATAAAAATGCTGTCATTATTATTATTATTATTATTATTATTATTAAACTGTTCTTAGACACTTTAATTGAATTATCTTCACTTAATAGTTTAGCTTACTTTGTTCATTGATAGGTAGTTTGTCAAGAAGTTTGATACTGTTGTTATTGTTCAACTTGATCTAAATCAATTTCAATAAGTTGTAAATTATTTTTAAAATATAGCTGCCACCTTAAACTATAATAAACCAAACACAATTCAAAGTTGTCACCTACTAGTTGATGTTTGAGAAAATCTAAAACCTTTAAATATTGTACAATTAATTTAACTCGCCTAGATTGCTCTTAACAGTTGGTTATTATTGACATCGATCGGTTGTCATTGTTTCCGTGTTTTCCAATAATTAGATTCTTGACAATTGTTAGGTTGTTTGTTGTTTATTTTCAAATGAAACAATCTGCATTCTTCTTTATCGTCATACATAATCTAATCACTTATGTTCCTTTTTTAAAAACATTTGCAAATTCTATTTTGTCGAGAAATGATGACCACACTGTTCATTGATTATTTGTTCTACATTGACATTGTAAAAGGTTGAGAAAGACAAGTTAGCTTTTTAGGTTAAACTGTGTAAAAGAAGTATCTTTAACTGATAAGATTAGTTTATTTCTTGACCTGGCGAATAATCAACGCTCAGTTTCAATAATTTTATCACTTTCCTTCTCTCTTTTATTGTTCATGTCAGAAGAATTGATGTTAGATAGTCACAAACATTTGTCAAGAGACTTTTTTGTTTTAGTTAATACTATTTGATAAAGCAAATATTTGATCCTGAAAAAACTAATGATCCTGGTGGATTTGAACTGGTGCTGACCAGCTTTTTTGTTGGAGCTGCTGCTATCTATGGAGTTGGAATATTTACACTGATTGATTATTAAGTAGTAACTAACTTCGTGTCTGTCCAGTCTTTAATACTGATCGATTGTGTTGCAGTTATTATTTAACTACGCATGGTCAGTTTGTTACTTGAACAAGCAAAGACGTACCTACACAAATACATACGCTGATCAATAATCAACATTAAGACAAACTATTGAATTTTGACAATGAATTCAACGACCTACTTTTAATAAAATACACGAAATTTTGTTAAAGTATGTATTTGTGTTGGAGGCTTCAACTATGATACAATAAAAGTTGGGCGTCTGGACTACCGAAACTTGAATCTTGTTCCGTTATGATACAGAACAGAGCTTCTTGTTATTATCGATCACGTAGTCTTGGTAACTTATTTCTATGCATAATGAGCGTGTATAGCTCTCCTATTCACCTTACTGGGTGGTGGATGGTGTTCAAATGTTCGCTGACATTACCAGTGAAATATTAACACTAAGCGAAGAAGGTGGGACATTTTCTGTAGATAAACTGTACACTTTCTTATTTATTTCATTTTTGTACACAAGGGACTAGTATGCTTTCACACCCATTGCATCTTATTTCATTTTATCATTTATATATATATATATATATATATATATATATATGAATATTCAATACCGAATAATTTAAATAATTTACTTCTGTTTTCTTTAACAACCATTTAGATTCTATAGAATCAGCTTATCGCAATTTCAATCCATATCATACAGCATTGCATGCAGCTGATGTATTACAAGCAATGCATTGTTTTATATCACAAAGTAAAGTAAGCAATAAAGAAAATTAAAAAAAAACAAACAAACAGTGAATAATTTATTTATGTGTAAAGATTTTTATGCAGTATTTTTATTTTACAGTGTTTTGTTTAATGATTTGAATACATAAATGCTTGTTTTGATGAGATTTCGTTTGGTTATAAAATATTGGTTTATTTCAAGTTATTGGCAATACTTTGCATGCATGACTTATAATGATAGATATAATGCCATTTCAAAAAAGGTACTTTCTCAGCCGTATCGGATTTCAGGTATGATATTTAAAAGCTTAATTAAAGCCCATGAACCGCAAACTCGAGAAACCTAGGCTGATTTCAGACCTGGATGTGGATGTACAGATCTGAAATTCACACTTTAGTCCCATTATTTGTTTTTAAGATTTTCACTTATCCTGTAAATGCGATTCATAAAACTTTGGAGAACTCTGATTTCTTCACGAGTACTTGCCTGAAAGTTTGAATTATAATTTTATCATCTGGCTCGTCTATAATTTCCGGTTTGTATACTTGTGGGTAGTCTAACACCTGATCGAAACGTTAGAATTGGAAGCTTTTAGTGCTCAGACTTCATATAAACTTATCTTAGTCAAACTTAACCACTTCAAAAGTATTCAGTGTAATTTAAAAATTAAATTCTACTTATTATCACGTTTGTTTACTTCTCCTTCTTCCCGAAAAGATGAAAAGAACTATGTGCAACTTACTGTTAGAAGGATTATTCTAAATTGCACTGTTTGTTATTATCTCGATAGGTGTGAAATAACAGAGAGATTAATGCATTTTTTAATGATAAATAAACTTCACATCAACACTCAAACCTAATTGTCTTGTTTTTTTTTTAAAAATTTTGTTTGAAACTTACTTTCATCGAAAAGTATAAATCACCTATTATTCTTACTTCGTCTTATTGCAGTTTACATTCTTGACAATACTTTATAATTTAAACAGCGGAATTCAGTACACTCATTTAAGTGAATACAATTAACATAACTGATTGTCTAGATTAAAATCATAAAAAGTAAGGAAAAACTTTTTATGTTTGCAATTAACTCATTTAACCGTTTCACATGAATAATCAGTGTACCTTGGTATTTCAATCACATTATCAATTCAGTTATGACATATTCAAATTGAAAGTCAATGATTACGCGAGATTATTTGATTGCGTGTACAGTCTAATCACTGGTTTCGTCACAAAAAGCTATTCTTTGTATACATTTTGTTACTGATCATTGACTAAAAAAACACGTTCCGCATAAACACTGTGAACTTGAATATGGCCGTCTGTTTTTCAAGTGTACACACAACTCCGTCCAGATCTTCATTTATAGGAAAAAACTCACTGGAGTGAGTTTATCCAATCGATGGTTTGACAACCGATTCTATTGATCAGTAGTTCTTAAAGAGACTATACATGATTGATGATGTTTTTTCTTCAAGGAAATAGATTATTGTATTTGATAAGAAATAAAGTGTATGTATGATAATGGCATAACTCCTTTTAAATCAAACATAATTTCTATATTTCATTTGTTATGTGACATAAAAAATATTCCATTTGACTATAGTTATTTGAATTTTATTGATGGTACAATGTAGACAGCATAATTTGATATTGTGTTCTATTAGTTGTTTTTTGTTTGAGTTCTTCTGGTCGTTATTTATTAATTAAATCGTAAAATAGATTGCAAATACACAAATCGCTCACAATGAAATCATGTGGGAATTCCGAACTAATTGAAGCTGAAATAGCCACTTTTTTCTCTGTATACATAAAAAAAAACAGAAGCAAAAAATTATCTCATCTGTTGATCGATTAATGAGTAGTTTTGAAGAGAATTCTGTCCAGTCATATAATAAGAATGGGGTAATGTGCTTGCAAATATATTTATTAATTTTATTATGATGGGAATCAATGAGCAATGGCTTTCTATTTGGTCCACTTAAAATTAATTCTTAGATAGATTATTGTATACTGAAGCAAACAAGGCAGCTAACATAGAGATTCATATGATGTAGAAGACATGGGGATTAGGAATTCATAATCACACAGTTGGATGATTTAGGATTCGAAAATCGAAATTATCAACTTTAAAATATTCATAAATCCACGCTAAAATAATACGTTCACACACATGCCCAATTGAGTTCTTCCTATTTCACAAATAGATTCTTAATCTTATCCACATAAACGCTCATTACCTGGAAATTCTGTAAAGCTTTTAAGATTATGCTGAAACTTACTCACACTCATCGGTATCTTTCTGTCACACTTGTAAGCGCGACTATCAATATAAAATGTTAACTTCCAATCAGCAAGAAGAACGAGAACTCAATCAACACTGCTGATGGGGTTTTTCAGCACCAACAGACATTGATGATCATTTATAACTTAAACACAGTATTGAATTATATGCCACAGTAGTATACGTAAATCGAAATTCTTGGTTATTTGTTTCAAATATACGATCTGACATCATTTGAAAATCAAAGGTTTTGTGATATATTGGGCCACTCAGAAATGGATCAAATGACAAGTGTACGTAATTAACCAAGAAATGGCTTTCATTTCTAACGGACGAGACATATATCAATGATGCGATGACGAAGATGTATATATTTATATGACTGAGTAAACAAAGTCTATTCGAATTAGTGAATAAACTCCCTTCTATACTCTTAAAATTTTTCCTGGAGTAACCATTTGAGTTATGGCCTAGCAAATTGTGTATCCATATCAACTGTTGCATATCCCATGACACAACAGTTTCCACTCTATTAATCTTCTATTGCTGTTAGTTATAAAGGTGTTTTATGTTGTTAAAAAGATTGCTAGAAACATTTACCGACATGCAATTCTATACAGTGTAGACACACATAGTTGCGAATTATCTACACACATTCACATGGAGTTTAAATGAAGTCACTTAGCATAACTGGTACGCTTGAGTTAATAAATACATGCAACAGTTCATGTTTAATTAGCTGTAAAATCATAAAACATTGGAGAAGAACATGAGAAAAATATAGTTTACACCTCATAATGAAATTCAGCTCCTTTCTTGTGAACTAAATTGTGAAATAAACAAGAACACAAATTAATTTAAAAGTTTTTATCAACTCGTTTGACTGTTCGTATATTTTTGTAGTTGTATTTTGTTGCCGTTTATTTATCGTTTTCCTTATCATCACTTAAGATTTCACTTTACTTTCGGAACATTTCTCCATTGATAATGCTTCCTAGCATGATAATTATAAACGGACATAAAAACATCTATTATCGCTCATGAAGTATAGGCCACCGGCTAGGATTCACCAATCAAATCTGTTGTAGGTTCTTTCTAATTGTTCCCTATTGCTATTCATTATTTGATGTCTCCGTCTAGTCCCTGGCGCAATAAGTTATTTGGTCTCTTCTCCTCGAATCTTGAGCATTCCAAGTTAGGGATTGCCTCGTGATACAGTTTAGTGAATTCCAGGGTTTTTAACTGATCTCTTTTTCAGCTTGAAGCTGATTTTTTCTCTCTCACAGTAGGTTGTTGCTGATGGTTTCTGTCTAAAGAATTTGCAATATTTTGTGAAGAAAACTGTGTATAAATACCTGTTTCTTTCGGATGACGGCGTTCGTAGTTTTTCAAGTGTCCGGTTTATATAATAAAACTGTTTTGACGTTCGTACTGAAAATTCTGATGTTAGTTAGTTCTGGTGTTAGTTAACGTTGTTTTGACTTCCAGATGTTATTCAGTTTTAGAAATACTGCGCTTGTTTTTCCATTCCGTACCTTCGCATCGAATAGTTCAATATTTCCTTCAAGAGCGCATATGCATTCTGTCTATAAGTGTCGACTTAAATTGGTAACTTCTTTATCCAACGTTTCATTTACAAAATGTAAATTGTCAAGAGATGAGGAAATAATGGTTTTTTTATTTCACCTGTATTGGTAAAGTATGTAGGAATTAGGAAAATATCGACTGAGTTTCCGGTTTGCTTAATATACGACAAGCATCTAGGGTTCAGTGTACTGAATCAGATTTTCTAAATATTTAGAATCACTTATGGACTTTTCTGCTGTATACGTATATCCAAGTAAAGATCTCATGAATCAAACCTACTTGAAAACACTTGATTGAATAAACACAGTAATAAAGGCGAAAATGAGACAGTTCTAGTCATATCTATTCCATATTTACTTTGCGAAAAATTTGAAGAAATCCTAAAAACTCATTCTTTCTCTCTTTTCCTTAAACAATAAGAATGTAACTGGAAAATTATTGATGATCAAGAAACACTAAACAATCGATTTTCGACGCACTTCGAGAGACTACCTAATTTCATAAGAAATTCAATTGAAATCTTTCGATCTCATATAATCACTCATGAATATCTTGAATATGAACGAAATTGTAATGGGACGCTCTAATTTATCGAGTAAATTAAATCGGTCGTCGTATGGTCATTAGTGGATGACAATATACGAGCATTATACGGTATATGAAACTTAAAATTAAGCCGATATTACCATTCATAAGAGTAAGACCTGATGAAAAATATAATTGAAATCAATATTGTTCGTTTATATTTATAGTTCTAATTAATGATATGAGGATTGTCAATAGTATTGTTATAAACAGAAGAATAGTTTTTAAGAACTATCTCAACCATACTGTGTGCTCGCCCAGAGGCATAAAATCCAATTACAATGAAATTAAACCATATTTCATTTTGTTCTATCGACAAAACTCCTTATTTCTATAAATACAAGATAGCTCATATTGATGACTATAAATATAAGTAGATTTCGTCGATAGATAATAACAAGTGATCGGGGTGGAATCGCTTGCATATGTGTATTGTACAAGTCGACATTTGTTAATAAATTGTCTGGATTGATGGCCGTCGTATATGGCTTCAAACTGGCTGGCTTCATTCAGTTTCATAACAAACAACTTCACTGGTGAACTATTCTAGTAGGCTTTAAATGATACAAAATACATAAATCCTTTCAAAAAATATATCTTTCTGCGATTAGGCAAATTTACTTGATTCTTTCTCGTTTTGTGTATCGCTTGATGAAAATGATTTTTCATGCAATTTTTCTTGAAAAAAACGAAAGAATGTTGCTTTTTCTCATTCAAATTCGCATAATTTATGGAATTATTTATTTAACCCCTAGGCAAAATCTTTCCAACTATTCACTTATTCTTTTTTTATTTTTTAGATTTAACCATTTTTTCCATTGATTTATTCATTCATCCTTATGTCAGCGAATTTCGTCACAATGTTTCTATATGAAATTGCAGTCTCTCTCTCTCTATCTAATTTTTTTCTGTTCACGAATGTGTAGATTTACACTTTGTTTCCATGATTGCATATGTTGATTGGGTTGAATTATTAATCTCAGTCTTAAACGTAAAAGATGATTAAAAGTGAATACTCGAAACAAATATTATATGTACAATGGTGGTTTAACTATGATTGATGGATGATTTCAATGTATAAAAACACTAATATTCATAACTCTAATTGAAAATGTCGCAAAACGTGCTCACTAGTGACTAGTAGGAGAACGTGACCAGTGGAGTTCTACCCTGTTGATGTAGTCAGTAACTACTAGAGACAAATGGGTGCGGTCGCGCAAGACCTCTAGATTGATCAGAGTTAGACGTTAACACCGTTGGATGCCGGCTCAGTGGCCCATAGGTTAGACCGAAGGTCATGTGTCCGAATCCTGCGAGTAACTGGAGCCATGGATGCGCACAGCTGATTAGTCCCATACCAGGAAGAAACGGCCATCCAGTGCTTCTAGGTTTCTAATAGTGGTTTAACGATGATTGATTGATGATTTCAATGTGTAAAAACACTAATCTCCATAACTCTATATGAAAATATAATTCATTAGCTAAATGGAAAAAAGTTCCACTGTTTAGTAATACTGATTAATTAGAAAGCTCTAGACTCTTCTACTTAATTATGATTGTACGGCAACACATTTAACATTATAACCTAAACTTATCTAGCGAAATGAGCTTTTTAGTAACGACATGCCATCTGTAATAAAGCTGGTAAGCGTACTCCTGATAGGCTGTAAATCCGGGATTCGTTTTCACAATGCAGGTTCATTGACTTTCACTCCTGAGTAGTCCTGTACCAAGATAAAAGCATCCGCACCCGGCTTCTGAGTTCTCAATCTGTAATCTAACTAAAGTCAGCTAGTAATTTAAAATCTAAGAAAATAAATTTCGTAAACCATCTAGTCAAATAATAATAATCGCTAATTGACTCGAATTATAAATATAGATCCTTAGATACTAAGTCAGTAGCCTAAGTGTAAAATACTAGTCACGAGATATAAGGGTTCTGGGTTCATTCCTCAATAAGGTCATTAATGTATACTATCAGAGGGCCAAAACTAAAATGAAACGGCTCTTTAGTTTATCATGGTTTTGAATATTTGTTTAGATAATATCACTCTGCTGGCTAGATTGACCTACATGTCGAAGTTGATGTTCACTCCGAGACTCTCATTCAGTACCGTTTGTTTCCAACTCCATTACATTACTAATCAAGCTAATGAATCTACTTAGCCGCTGGCTTATGCAATAGGTTTAAGTTTATTCTGTATCGTTTAATTAAATCTTTTTATTGATGTTTAGCACTGCAATTGGTCAGTTTCTTTTGGTATAGGTGCATCCTACGCGTCCTGGATCCCACTACTAGTCACCGTCCATCTCTGCTTAGAATACTCGTGACTTAATAGCAATATCAAAGTAATCTACAGAGGATTTATGCATTACAAAAGTGACTGATCAATTGCAGTCCTACACATCAACGGGAAAATCCGAACAACTAATACAACTATGATAAAGTTCATGTTAATAAGTAAACAATAGACAAACATTTCTCTATGCAACTGCATATTTTTATTGTAAATAGTTAATAATTGTAGATAAAGTTTCTAAGAGTTTATCGAAGAGAATGAAGTTGATAAGAATTATCATACTTCTTCAAAATATTTACTGCTTTTTAACATCTCTACGATCACTTAAAATAATACATTCAAAAAATTATCACTGTCTACATTGTCTTACATTAACAAGCATTTATCATCGGGTAAATTCAGTTAAATAAGAATTTAATTGACAAATTTATGTATATTATGTAATCTCGTAGTTGATTACAATCGAAAGTTGAATATACATTGATGCAAGTGGTTTGTCGATGAATAGTTGTAGCCTTATGATTATGAATTTTTGGCTAAGTAATTGAATTGTTATATCATTATGGTGATTTGAAACACATCCTAAAGTTTAAATATAAAACTGTCGGAATCTCTAGAACCAGCGGAAACTCAAGTAAATTCTTCGAATCATTCGGAAGTATGTGCATGTAACCATTCATCAATAAACCACACTATGCACACTTAATTGGAAATATTATTTGTCAGTCTCTAATTCTCTTATCTCATTATTGCATGTCTACTGTGAAAATGTAATTTACTCAGACAACAGATTTCGCACTAGGTTTGTCAGACAGTTTTAAGAATTTCGAAACATACATTTGTTTTAGAGCTTTACTGATGAATTGTGCATTGAATAATCGTATTCAGTAGTTCGTTATGGATAAGTCAGTGTTTTTATGATCATATACAAGTGTAACATTCGATAAGGATTATTCCGTATATAAAAAATTAAGTCTTATCGGTAAGTGATAATTGTTGTATACCGACCTAAAGATTTGAGGTTACGGTATCTATCTATCTATATTAGTGTTGTGAACCATCAGTGATGAATAGCATCAAATCACCGTGAAAAAAAGTGTTTCTTGGTTTTGTTTTTAGTGATACCCGATCATCTTTTTTCCGGAATACACTGCAAACTTACTTAATCTAAAAAACTAAATAAATTCATAAAGCACTACATACGATTATCGGTAATCATATGGTACTACATATGAGTCTTTTTCTCTTTTGAGACTCATAAAAGGTGCTCACCCATAGCTCCATCGGGGATCAATTTCAAAACCATTTTGTAGTACGGTGAGTTCGTTACCTATCGAATTACTGAGTAGGAATCTACTGGCTCAGATTACTAACATCAGTCAGTTCATAATATTCCGATAGTTTCGTTCACGACATCTTACGCTTAGTTTGGCTGAACTCCATCAATCACGGTTCCTTATTAAATCTACACGAATTTCTCGCAAAGTTAATCACTTCATGTTGGTTAGTGACATTTTTGAAAGTCTCATAACAGAAACTAACATCTATGCTTCTGTGCTTTCATTTTTTTACTGGTCAGTCCACAATTTAGGCGATAAATTAGATGGTTTCCGTCAACTTGCTATGCTAACAATCCAATTCTAGCATATCTTTTTAACATTATATACTTTTATTATGTTTTGATATGAATATTATCGTCATCCTATAAAAGATGAAGTAATTAAAGAAGTTGAACAACTCTGTTTTTCTTCAAATCTTTTTTATATATTTTTTTTAGCTTCTAACCATTTTAAGTCCGACAGAAATTTTTACTTGTCTATTGGCAGCCGCTTTGCATGATGCTGATCATCCCGGTGTAAATCAATCTTATTTAGAGAAGACAGGTGATTTTCTAGTTAGTTTATATAAAGTAAGTTAATCATTCTAATATTCCACATAAACTGTATTTATTTAAAAATAAAATAAAAACAGTGTTATCGCTTTTTGCCTGATGAACTATTTTATTATCCACTTGATTGACAATATTCTATATGTTAATTCATCAATGAACATAGGAAAACTGTGTGAAATTATCGTCAAATAAATTACTTTTCTGAACTGTATTAGAATTATAGCTACGCAGTCAAGAAGCTATCAGTGCTGTTAAAAAAGGAATAGAGTTCAGACATTGATGACCAGTGGCTAACGTTACGGTTTTTTTAAAAAAACAAAACTTTTTCTGCTTGTTTTGCCGAGGTAGACATTATTTACGACATCTACACATCCTCATTGTTTTAGGTTAATATCTTTGATTTAAGGAGATATTATTAAGGAAGGAATTCTCATGGAACAAATAAAATCACGTGCATCTTATTAGTTGTAAAGTAAGAGAGAGTGAAGTTAAAGTTAAATAACCAAACCAGTGGTAGATTATTCCAAGTGTAAAGAATAAAAGCCAAAAAAATATCAAATACATTGTTCCACCTAGTGCAAAAACCATTTAAGTTTACATGTCGCGCGAGAAAATCGTCACGAAGCTCAAGATCCAGGTTTCGTACTGGTTAGTGCTCATTAGTAAGGGTAATTGCGGTATTGGAATAATCTAACGCTCCTCGTTGGATTGAATACAGTACCGCTGATTGTCACAATCGGATAGGTTTCCATCAAATTATGTGAGCTGAAATTAGCTCTCAACAAAATAGAAGTGTTCACACTGATTGATAACTGATTAATTACCGATGTTTTGTTACTTCACTCCTCAGGACAAGCACATTATTATTTAACTTACTGTATTAGTAAAAGTATGTTTATCAGTTATGAAGTTATGTATTCAGAATTAAGTGAGTAAGTATGTGAATTGAAATAGAAAAGGTTTTCTCAACTTTCCATTCACGTTTGTAGTAACTCTGGTATTCAGCGCAATAAATCTCAACGATATGTATTCAAATGTAGTAGATAGTGTTGTTCAATAAAATCAAGGTTTTATTTTTTACAGCAGCTTTAATCATACGACATTATTTGACTAAAGTAGCTGTACTTGCTTATTGTATACGAACGTAAATTTTATATTCAGCATGGAAATATATGGGTGAAAGATAATGTTACTATGGGTTCACCAGCAGGTCTTATACCGGCCAACTAAACTGGAAAACATTACACTGGCATAGCATATTGAAAACAATGGACTGCTCAATACTGGTCCATCTAGTGAAAACGGGTCATTAAGACAGTATTAGTATATGTTAACACTTCTTAACACTTTACCGGATCAGTAGCTTTCTGCCAAAGTCGGTTTGACTCAAAGTACTTCCAAGGACGGAAGCCATAGCTATTCACATCACAAAGTCAGAGCTACGTGCACATAAGAAATAGATTCAGCCCATTTTATCGCCGTGATTAACCTAAAGGCCATTGAATCAGTAATGGTTCCAGCAATAGAATGATACTGCTGGACTGGTGTACGTGCACTCTTTCTTAGTCAAATATAACTGTCTTTTTTATTTTTACTCACATATCTCGGGACTATGCTTCTATTTGATCTGATCATGAATCTTACAATTTAGTTTAACAAAAAATCTTATTCAGATCAGCACTTTATATTATTCATGTCAACATTACCATTTCTCATTGAAATCATGAATCAATCAATGTGAGACCACAGTTGGAAATCTGAAATGACTAGACGGTCTTTTCGACTTAGTATGGAACTTCTCAGCAGTTCGCATCCACAACCGCGACACCGGAATTAGAACCCAGGACCTCCGGCCTCGTGCACGAACACCGAGCATCTAGACCACTAAGTCGGCATCGCTGCTTAAATTTAGTTAATCCACGACATTGCGAGACGGTTATCCATTGTCTTTCCTAACACCCTACAGGGTTGAATTCTAATGGTCACGGTTTCTCATTAGAACTCCAGAAATTTCCTTAGCAAGCTGAGCTCGTGATAATTTCCATTATACGATTGTGGAGATTTTTGAGTTTAATGTGAGGCGATTATCCACCCTGCAGAATGGGTGACATTAACACCGTTGGACGCCGACTCAGTGGTTCAGAGGTTAACCGTTCGTGCGCAAGACTGAAGGTCCTACATTCGATTCCTGCGTGTAGCAGAAGTTATGGACGTACGTTGCTGATGTGTCGAATACCAGGACGAAACGGCCGTCCTGTGCTTCTAGATTTTTAATGGTGGTCTCACATTGACCGATTCATTATTTCGATGAAACTCGATATTCTCCACAGTCCTATGATGAAAATAACAATTTTATTTGATATTTTATACATCCCTTTATTCACACACTTTAATCCCATATTATATATTCCTCCTAAAACCAGGGCATGTTTAAATTATTTCATTGTGAAACCTGAAGAAAATTACATGAAAAGATGATTCTTCGTTCTTATATCTGTGTTTTATATGACTGGAATTTTTCACGGATAAAAAGTAATCACCTTATCTTACTACACTTTATCACCATACTATTTCGTGGCCACCTTTATATATTTGGATTCTAAATAAATTTTTTGGTATCTAATAGATATGGTCTAAATGTTGACTTTATTTCATGTACAATCAGTCAAAAATGTTAGAACTAACTACCAGTCAGCCTAAATGTGTAGGCAAGTGACCGAAAGTTGTGTACGAGTGAAGCCTAAAGATGTGAAAATAGGAAATGTTGAAGGTATTTTTGGAATTAATGTTTGTTTCGTTTTTAATGGTAAGTTGTAATATGATGGCTGTGATTACAACGAAATCAGATATATTACTTATATAGACACACGTTTAGATTATATTTACTTGTACCTATATGCATACAGGAATTCCTCGGTACTGCAATTTAGGACACAAATATATTGCTCTAGGCTTTTCCACTTATCATTTTGCATGTAACCACATTCATCTGAAAAAATTTCAGTGTATATTAAAATGTTGAAAATTACTAGTGTACTGAACGAAGATGTTATATGTAATATGCGTTTTATTGAAAGAAGACAGTTTACTGGTAAAACGTGTGCACCTTATTCGCATGTCTTCTTATCTTCAAGACACTTTGAATGAGCTATAAATTTTGGTCCGAAGCTCTTCTATTCAGCAACAAGTTGTAGGCGACACTGCAGCACAAACAATATATCCAGCTCAGAGAACGGAAGTCTACAACAAACTACTTAAAGGCCACTTTGCAAGTAGTATGCACCACACTATTAATGACAATAATCATAATGTTGAACAGTTTTGATTTGTGAATAGATGACGCTTGTTTCTTTTCTTTTCCTTCGCTCTTCAACAATGTAAAAAGAAATCAAAGTATACGCATCAACAAGTTGGGAACCATCTTATTTATTTATTCATTATTTTAAACAATTATTGTTATTCCATGCTTATTTTTATAAGAAGAGATGAATGTTTTCTTCACATAAATTAATACAATTGATGTTATTGTTCCTTTATTCCCTTGATTGTTTCTAAAAATTAAAGCTAATCCACCTTTGCATTCATTATTCTTTTTATATGTAACAAAATGGATTTCTTTGAACTAGTTTTGGATCACTATTTCTGTACGTCCTAATTATTTATTCTCCTCCTTCTCTCTCTCTCTCTCTCTATGTCTCACTCTCTTACTCTCTATCTCAGTATGTCTATTGATTCATTTATATATTGATTCGATGTGAATAACGTTGAACAATGGTAAGATGGACATATATATATATATATATATATATATATATATATATATATATATATATATATATATTCCTATTTCCCTCCTCCAAACAGTGGATTAGTAGGCAAAGACTTTACATTTAAAACAGCAGTTCTAAACTCACGCTATCTACTTTAGTTTGAATAGCCAAATTTTATCTGGGACAAATGTGGCTTATTAATGAAAAAACATATATATATATATTCGGTTAGTGTGTGCTGGATTATACAAGAGATTCAAAGCGCAACCTAAAGATAGATCGGGCGAACGAATCGCAAAAAAGTGTAGTATGACTACAATTTCGTTATGTTAAAAAGACATTAAATGCTTTATAAATTCATCATGGTTAAGGTTGATGCAGTGCTGATGTCAACATGGTCTGGATATTTTTCTAAAGTATCTTAGGAAATATTTTTAATTTTTATTGAAGAGTGTTTTTCTCTCACTCGACTATACGTAAAAAGGAAGTTTGCTGTTTACTAGATGGAGTTATAGATGTAGTATTGAAACTTCATCAGTTGAAGTGTTTGGGGACACGTTACGACTGCCCAACCACTGACTGCCTCGTCGAGGTGTTTTGCAGTGTTGGAGTAGGTTGAAAGAAAGATAGGTGCGGCCAAACCAAAACATAGCACAAATCCATGACGCCACTGACAACTGGATTGAGTCATGTTGCCAAGTGTAGACTACCTAATTGGGGTCCACGAGATGATAGTAATCGATGGTTAGAGACCTTGAATGAAATGACTCAAAACCATTTGCAATGGCGTAGGTGTATCCACTCTTTATGTTCTCTCTAATCCTAATCCTCTGGATTCTTAATCACCTTCATTATTTTTATTTTTAAGTTTATTTGACTAGATTATACTTCTTGAATAATATCTTTGAACCGTAATCTTTCCGACTGCTGCTAATACTTCTATTACCTCTACTACTATGCGATTTGAATTGACGATTGCATCTCGATGCTAATGTGGTATGGCAACTTGATGTACATGCGTTCTACGTTGGAACTGACTGACTGAGACTTAAATCTATACAGAAAAATATTCTTTTCTTAAAAGCCAATGTTATGCAATCTAGTTGTTTTCAAGTGTTCCAGGCAGTGTTAGGATTTTTATTTTATTTAATTTCCAAGTGTATACTAGTTTTGTAAGACAAGTCGATAAACGAAACTGCCTATTGTCTGAACAAAATATTTTATCGTGAATTAATGTAACACTGAAATCAAAACATCGTACCCTAGATTTCTTAGATAATCTCTTTTCTATTTTGCGTACTTTCGGACATAATTAATAACTTGTGATCGATCACTAGTTTCAAATTATTTACTATTCATCATTTGAAATTTCAGGTAATATTTTATGTAAGTTTGACAGATAGTTTGTCAATTCTCAAAAGTAATTTAGCATATTAATAGGGAGGCGATTATAATTCATTAGCATTTTCCAGGTAACACAAGCACGTTCCCATTTTCCAAATTCCAATCATAACATGATGATTGACTTCGCATTGATGTGTCCATATTTCCGGACGCCAGATAATTTAAAAACAACATTTATTTTCTGTTTACATCAATTCATTGGAATTGTTGTTTTTGCAACTGGTACCATTCTTTTCAATATGCATTTTTCCAATGATAACCTTTATATTAGTGTGCCTAGATCAGATACATTTTTGGGCGTGTAAGAAATATACATACTTAGTTAGTATGGATTTTCGAAAAGTACTTTCAAATACTGGATACAATTTCGATTGTCCTGTTTAGTGTTTTCCGTTTTTTTTCTAAAAAAAAATTTTTTTTTCTACAATTGCGTGTTGTATCTTTTTTTCTTCTTCACTTTTCAACATCATTCTGTTTGAATTTGAATTCTACTCTCTTAATAAAGTTACTTGTTTGTAAGATGGTTGTTTTTGTAAAGTTAAACAAAATGTATATATACTGCACATCACTACACTGGTTGTTACATCCGTGTGTTCGTTCATGTAACAACATAAAAATATGAATTGTACACAAGCTCATACTCTCTGGAAATTATGGAGTTCGTTCAATTAGTGACCTGATTGGTTGCATGACATTTCTATGGTTGGTCTAATGTAATTTTCATGTATTATAGATGGCTTATTTTTAATACACTTATCAGCTAATAGTTTGAATTTGTTCATCTTAATCTCGCTTTCTGTAAAACTCTTACTTACCATTCAGGTCATTGATTAATTCGACGTTTTTCATTTCCGACAATAGACAGAAAATAAAATGTCATCTTTATTTAGAGAGTTCTAATCTAATCTATCGATCATTCCCAATATGGTCATTGGCTTAGGTAATTCCACATCATGCCCATCATACTTGGGTGCTGCGTGGTTAGAGTCAATCAGCATTAAGCCATAGACTTAAGTTTTGTTCTAATTATAACTGTTAAACAAGGGATATGCACAATTCGGTTGTAACTGTTACTCCTCACGGGATTCTTACCCGTGTCAGTTGGGGGGGATCCCAGTCATCGATGTTACCAATGAGTTATTTGCGCCGTAATTGACCGACCACCTACAGCGATGATATATTTGCGTTTATTGATCTTCAGGTATCAATCAACCAATATAAGATATTCGTCTAGTTTTTGATCACAATCCAATTCCTAAGTGCATGCGATATCAAGTGACTTGAACAAGTGACCATATTGCAAATGGTCGATATGATTTAATTGATTCTGATCACTTGATATTGTATACAGTGATAATTTTTTTGAGTAAATCTGTTAATGACTAGTATTCTACCTGTTAGAAAGTAAGCATATAATAATTTTTTCATCTCTTCACTTGATTTTGAATAAAGTTCTACTCTAATAAATCGTCTTCTTTGGATTGCATTTATTTTGAGATACTTTCTACATATTATATTTTTCTTTGTTGAGATAAATTGTTTCAGTAAGCTAGCTAACTGACTTTCATTTTGCCCACTGTAATTAGAGGTTAAAACATACAAAAAGACATGCATAATGTTCACAACTATAAGTGAGCGACTCGTTACCTATGCTCGATTTACACTGTTTGGTGTTCTTCCTTTTCGTTCGCAATAAAAAAACAAACAAACAAACCAACTTGATTGATAAAGGAACAAAATTTAAAAAGAAAAAAATCGGAATACAATAAAAAAAAATTTAAATAGTTCAATTCAACCGTAATAATTCATGTGTTCATTGTAACACGAAGTAAACTTTTCGTTTCCTGTGGATTATTTATTGCTTCTTCTTTTTTTTTTAATACTAAGGTGCAATCCACAGAAACACCGACATAATTGATTCAATAAAATTGAGAATTTAAATTTCACATGTGAAGATTTTTGTCGGATTGAAGTTGTTGTATTCCCCATTGATTTATCTCATTCATTCCAAGATGTGATTTAAGATATGGTTGGATTTTGTTGTCCGCTAAAAAATTGACGGATTTAGGCCAATCACTGCTGAAGCATGACTAGAATCTTGAGGGAATCGATGCTTTCGATAGAATTCACAAGTCGTCGAACCCGGTCTCACTTAACATCACCTCCATAGTTCACACGATCCCAAGTCGCTTAGACTAATGACCACATTACAACTCTGTCGAGAGAATTCAATTTATACAAAAGCCTTTACGAACGTGACTTTCGTTTCTTTTCAGTAATCAATCAGTGTTCTTGACCAAAGTCTAGTTTTATTTTTTGTCTTCAGAGATGAGTTAGTTTTGGAAATTTGATCTACCTTTAAAAAAGTATATAATTTAAATAAAGATTTGCTTCATTTATTTAAGAGGTCAGGTTGTAAAGTACATTGTAGAATGTGAACACTTTACATATACCTGAACAGGTACATACCTAAATATTTGCATATTTCGCCAATGTAGCTAGGTTTTTCTTTTTGGATAACTTACTTTCCTACGTGAAATAGATTGTATGGACAGTTGTTGTCAGATTTTAATGATGTTCTAGATTGACAAAGCAGAAGATTAGATGTTTATATATAAGGATGAGTCATACAATTTTATGTAACAGGTTGGAGTCAAACGAGTGAGTTGAAGGTGAAGTAATTAACAACCGATGAAATGAGGTTAAAGATCACGCCACATTATAAGTTATTAAAGATTTCGATTTCGAAAACAAGAACAACAGAGCTAAAAGTGAACAGTCTTGTTTCCAATTAGTTAGTAATCAGGCTTTGCACCAATTTTTTTTATGAGAATCTCAAACCAATCAAGGCAATTTATGAGTTAACTTGACTGAAATTAGGAAAATAATGACTTGACTTTCGGGTCATTAACTGAATGTCATTTTGCTTACCACATTTGTCTAAGAGTCTTTATCTTTATCCTAAATCGGATTGTGGCTGCCCACTGTTAGTTTATCTAATCACCATGAATTAATCACCATGGTCAATGAGAAAAACATATATATACCTTCAACGTGTGTCATGAATTTTATTGTACAACATCCCGTCAATACACTGAATTTAACATCCAATTAATAACTGTTTTCCCTTGTAAATCAATAATCTTGATGGTTTGTAGGCAGTGTTTGGTAAAGAATGATCTCACTTGCAGTACCGATGAAGACAAGGGAGCATTGATATCTGCTTCGTCCTAATAAAAAACTCTTCAACAGCGGACAAAAAATATACCACCAAAGAAGGTCTTCATACTAGAAGCCTACTTTTGTCCAGTGCTATCTAATTTTCAGTGGTACGCCGAATCAATTCTTAATGAATACTACCTTGATAAATGTCTTTATTTTCGATTTTATTCATGGGCCGATCGGTTGACTTTGAGATCACATTTCCCACCAGGAAAAGCCTTGGGTGTGATTGGTTACTGTGTTATTTTAGTGTCCTATTTTTGTGACTGTCTATGGTTTATAAATAAACGCGATTTGTGTGCTTGAATTCATTGTGCTTATTGGGTGTTTGTAGAATTCACTTTCTACGCTATATCAATACTTCTCGTTAGTTCCTTTGGGTCAACGAATCAGAGTAGCCTTTCTGGACGCTGGTTCATTATCTTGTTCTCGTTGAACCCGTAATAGTTTCAAGCATACCTAGTGACGAGCGTAACAATTCTACAACTCATGAAATTGACAAGATAGCTGCAGTCTGATTTCTTTTCTTATAAGTTAGAAATACTATATAATAAAGCCAATCACACTACTAGTCGATTTCATTGGTTTACTTCAACGCCTTGTTTTAATGAAATGACATTTCCTATGAATGTTCCTATTGTTGTTATCAAAAATAGCAGCAACACAGAATTCTTCGAAAATATTGTTAGAATCTTCCACAATGTGTATATTTTTTTCAAGTTTTGTTTTATTTTTTTCCATTTTAAACATTTAGTCTGCTTCTGTATTAGAAAAACATCATGCGAAAGTTGGTCTATGCATTCTTCAGGAAAATGGATTGGCAGAAGCATTATCTTCTCAAGACTGGTTAGTTAGTCTGTCTTGTTAAAGGATTATATTTATTTTAGGAGATTAATAATATTAGTAATTTGTATCACATATATAATTCTTTTTTGACTATTTTGATTTAATAATGACGACGTTGGTTTAGTTACTATTTCTCATATCTATTGCTTAATATCACAGTAACACCTATTGGCTAATTCTCGGAGTCAGCACACCAATGAAATGATTCAATAACTGTGAATAAATTTATCTTTTTTTTAAAGCAAATATTTCCCATTACAATGTTGTTCGATCAGTTTGCAAAGGAATTATCATCTAGTTAAAAGATCATACTATTATAGTGCGTAATCGTTTGTCGAGCTGACACAACTTTTCATAGCTTTTAAACAAACCGACCAATCTGTTCTTTTCAGGTTATTTTTCAACTATGTTAACATTTCGCTTATAACCTTGGTAATTTTTATTTGTGTGCGTATGTACACTGAACACTTCACCTATCTCGTCTACCGGACTTTTCGTTTGACTGTAAATGCTTGATCATTCCTCATCGATGGAATCGGTCCGCTCGTCTTCTCCTTCTTGCTTTGCTGTTACACTTCCCCTTCTTATGTCTTTTTGCATACTGGACGTGTGAAGTAAATTCATTTAAACATAAACTGTATTAGGCTTTTAATAACAGCGGTCGCACCAACGCAGTTTAGACCTTCTACCAGGTGGCACGCTTCTTGACTTAGAATATGCCGATGACATAGTCCTAATTGGTGAAGACGCTGACAAAATGCAGAGTCTTCTGATCACCCTAAGCAACAATGCAAGCATGTTCGGGATGAGGTTTTCCCCGTCGAAATGCAAAATGTTGCTTCAAGACTGGGTTGCATCGGCACCTGAACTAGTGATAGGGAGTGAAGTAGTCGAACGTGTAGACCGCTTCACTTATCTTAGGAGCTTCATCAGTGCTGATGGCCTGGTGACTGACGAAATCTCAGCACGGATACAGAAGGCTTGATTGGCTTTTGCCAACCTGAATCATTTATGGTGTATGCGGGATATCTGTTTGCTGACTAAAGGACGAGTGTGCTGTGCAGTAGTTCGCTCCGTCCTACTTTATGGCTGTGAAATATGGCCAGTGAGAGTAGAAGATATTCGTAGGTTACTGGTTTTTGATCATAGGTGTCTTCGAAGCATTGCTCGTATATCCTGGGACACCCGAGTAAGCAACGCTGTTACTAGGAAATGGGTGCTAGGTAAGAATGGCAGATCAATAGATGAAGTGGTGAAACTTCATCAGTTGAGGTGGTTGGAACATGTGCTGCGTATGCCTAACCACCGACTGCCTCGACGAGCTTTGTTTTGTAGTGTAGGAGTAGGTTGGAAGAAAGTTAGAGGCGGCCAAACCAAAACATGGCAGAAATCCATGAAGCCATTGACGAGTGAACTTAGCCATGTCGGTAGTTGTCGACTACCTGGTTGGGGTCCGCGAGATGATAATGATCAACGGTTAGATACCCTGAATGACATGGCTCAAAACCATTTGCAGTGGCGCCGGTGCATTTGTTCTTTGTGTTCTCTTAAATCCTAATCTTCTGGATTCTCCAACCCCTCCAGTTTTGACTTTCTAAACTTTTCCCACTGAACCATATTTCTTGAATATCTTCTAATCCTAACCTCTCGGATTACTTCTAATACCTTTACTACATCTTCGACTATTGGATTTGTATTGACAATTATATCTCTGTGCTGATGTACTTACGTACAAAGTTCTACGTTGCATCTGACTGACTGACCAACGCGGTTCGTGTAAAAATAATATACAGGAATTAAAGGGTAGATTTATTTTACACCATTCATCATTCATTCGTACAAATTGGAGTCAGATTCCAAGTCACTGAGCTACGTATTATCATGAATAGTCTACAATTAAGTATGTTAATCGCTGAAAATATTCCAAGGTTTTCATGTTGGTATTATTGATTTCAGTAAATAGTGTTAGGCAAATGATACATTATAATTTAAAGCAATGAAATTTCAGTGTTTGACTTCAAGCAAATTTATCAGTCTATTGACTAAAACTGAATTTCTTTTTAACCATAATTTTTTGATACTGATATCTTATGCAGTTGTAGCTTCAGCCGTTGGCAAGTTTGTGCTCAACCTGAAGGTGGTTGGTAGGTGACTTGTCTTAATCGGATTACACTTTTTTCCCCATTCTATTGCAATATATATGCGAAATGATGTAAAAAAATTTCAATTGTCTAATGATCTAATGAAGAGGGAGGAAGAATTGGGAATGACTGTTGCAAACGAAAAACAAATCATTCATCAAATTTTATGACATTTAATTTTATTTTTAATTCATTATTTATTATTTGACAGCTCATAAACTATTCAGTTAAGCATTTTCGTGCACTCTGACAACTTAAATAATTAATTCACTGCTCTGAAATTTGCCAATTTCCAAGTGCGGAAAAAGACATCTAGTCAATTAAATCATTTCAGGAATTTTGTTGGATCAGTTGAAGCTGTCATAATAGGAAATAATTTCGAAAAATTGAAACAGACGGTATGATTGCAAACTGTGTAAACCTTGGTAGAGTTATTTTAACTTATAGTTATGAAAATATGTACTTTGAAATTGTCAGAGAGATTAGCTGTCTAATTTGCCGTTGTGTCCAGTTCTTAGTTTAGTCGACACCCACAACTCGATTTATCATGAGAGGCTTGAGGTCTCTCTGGGTCGACTGCTCTTTTATATAAGAAATGTATTTATTTTTTCTTAAAGCAGAAATTGTTTTAATTCGAATTCTCCAATCAATAAATAACATGATAAATGCATATATATTATATTTTTCAAAGTCTACATCTTTATTTTACTTTCTTCTCTCATCTCCAGGAAATATGTACGTGATTGTTTTTTACAATTAATTCCAGCTACTGACATTGCATATCAAGGAGTATATCAAAAACAATTCTCAGTAAGTTGAATTATATCCATCATTTTGATCGGCGAATACTTCTGACCAATGTAGCTTATTTATCAAACACATTATTATAAGTCAACAGTTTGATGTTGGCTTAGATAATTTTTATTGAATAACAACTAACTACACAGCAAATAAAATTGATTTTGAACCACTGAAAATTAGGACGAAAATGGAATAGCAGTTTTGATTAATTTTATTTTCTTTGAAGTATTTTTAGATGTTTGCTTGCTTGTGTAATATCTACGAATTTGTAATCGAACGGCACCTTATCTAATTTAATGATTGACGGTGTTAGATAGAATACGCCAGTCGTGGAGTTGGTCCGTGTTATAGTCCTAATATATAAAACCTAGTTAATCGTATTTCCACTACTGGCTTCAGTTATTTAAACATTAAAATAGTGACACCACACTGTTCAATTAGTCAACCCAGCCGATAAGATTCAACTTTTTCGTTAGAATTTGTGCAGTACGACTTTGGTTACTATTTGGTGATCAAGTAGTATGCTAACACTATATACTCCACTTAATTGTTTCGCATATCCCCTCACTTGGCAGTCTATATGGTTATTGATGGATATATAAATCAACCACTGATAAACGTCTAGTTTGTGCATCGGGTTAGTTTTATTGTCTGACTGCGCTGTTGTGAAAGGTGAAACAATCGGTCGATGTATATTCGTGTCACATTCTGCGTTAAAATATGATAGGCTGTTTCTACAGCGGATTTTCGCTCTTCTAATTAGCGCTTATCTTTATCACTTATACATAATGCTGTGAATTCAAGTAACAAATCACATGAGGACTAAGAGTCTTGGAATTGTTGCTTTTAATCAACTGAAAATTTTTGTCGTTTTTATTTTGAGGAAAAAAAATTTCATATCATTCGCCTTTTCTAAAAAAGCGTATAAATTTTCTACTTCAACTAATTAGTTAATTGATTCTGAAAGTGATTTGTTCTTTTTTAACACTACAAACTGTGTCCTTTCGATGTACATTATGGGAAATCAAATATTTGCTCTCTCCCTCACTCTTGTCAATTTCAAACAGTTATTCCTCTGTGTAGGTTTCAATTATGTAGTAAAAAAGATGAAGTTGTTTTGTAAAATGTTACTTATTTACGAAACAATCAAGTCACACATATATTACCTGTCAAATTATTTAAATTATGAAAAGTAATAATTATTTATTTCATCTGGTTTAACCGAAATCTACAAAACATAAACACAACACAGTTTCAAGGTCACTACTGTCATCCTTTTGTTGAATTAAAGTGGAAAAGAATGAATAAACCGCTCAGCGTCAAACTTTTTTTCCTTTAATAATTTACCTGCCTAAAATTCTTTTAAAGGACATTGTTTGATCATGACCCAGTTGTTCTTACGATTTACACTCCTATTTATTGAAGTCAGGGAATCTTAAAAATTTCCGAATATCTAACTAAGTTAGATTCATCCGATATTTTCACTTGTGTGATCACCCTCAAAATTGATCATGAACTATGTTTATTATTTGCAATAATTTCTGATAGTTTAAACTATGGTACAGCATGTATAAGTGCACTAGATAGCTAGTAGAATCCTATTTTTCTTGAAAGTTATATTCAGCTGAATTAGAATTTCTCACTAATCCACTCATATTTCATCATACTATCTCAAACAAAGCAGAATATTGATCATTTTATGATTAGAAAACTCAATCCATTTTGTTTTACTGGTTCAAGTAATCAGAAACTCGCAGACTTGCTGTCTACTTCATACGTTTATTAGTGTTTAGGGTGGTAGTTCTAATAGTCATGTATATCAGCTGTCATTAGTATCGACAACACAACAAGAATAATGTAGTCATTAATATTAATTAGTTCAAGGCAGTTTGACACTATTTTTATTGTTGTTTTCTTTGTCTTTCGTTTTAATACCCAGTTTCGTTTTGAAATTTGATAGATTTACATACTTGTGCCATAATATCACCACACATGATTTTTTTCCCTCTCTATCAAGTGTTTTTTATTTTTTATTTTCCTAATTTTTCTCGTGACCAATGTCGTTTGCTAAATTCCCTCTGAAAAAATCCAATACATGTGTAAATAATTATGTAAATGAATATAGATACAGCGCGACAATATTTACCAAGATAAATACTCGCTTTATGAAGTGTAAATCAGTTATAAAATAATATTGTTGAAAAAAAAAATAATAAATGCCCTTGATGTCAGTGGAATTGATCGGATAAAAAAAAATAGACTGGAAAAAAACGAAAGATATGGATAGTGAGACAAAGAAAAATAATGATATGAAAAAAAAATCTGGAGTTCTTTCTTTATCGTTTATTCTTATTGAGGTTATATCGTAGATATACTCATTCTTTGTTTGAACCTTGCTTACTATAGTCCCCATTTTTTTAACAAGTGATTATTCTTGATTATTTGAAAGACCGTGTTGGGGACGTTAGACCCCGAGAACTCACTTGGATAAGGTCCTAAGTTTGGATTTTATGTTTTCGCGCATAGGCTGATCAGTTGACCTTCAGAGTACATTTTCCACCCGGAAAATCCTTGACTATCATTGGTTGATGTGTTATTTTAGAACTCTATTTTTGTGGCTCTTCCAAGGACGTTTCTATCATGTATAAATAAACTCGATTTGTGTGCTTGCGAACCTCGATTTTCTGGGTGTTTGTAGAATAAACTTTCAAAGTCTTGTCAAGACTTTTTCCTCTACTGAGTGGGGCCTTGGGACATTCAGATCATCTGTCTTTACTCTCGTTTACCGAGTAGGGTGAACTAGTAATAGTTTTATCATGCATATAAAGTGACGAGCATAACAGACTGTCAGCATGATACTGACTTCATCTGGATCGTCATTGAAAAGGGACGAACACTGGGGGTCATAACGTCACTACGGATTGATTTTCCATAATGATAATGAGAATGATTGAGCACTGTTAGTGTATCTTATAGCAGGGGTAACATTATATACAGACATCTACTTCAGGGTTCTGCGTTTTTTTAGGTCTAAACAGTTTAAAGTAGTAAATTAAGTTAACACAACATCAAATATCATCTTGTAACGAATATCACTTGACAATTATTGGAATCTCTACATAACTAAGCAAATAAACTATGCATTCACTTATAACTAATGCTTGAAGGCTTATTTTGTATATTAGTGTACGTATTACGTTGTCTTCGCACGAATATAAACTGAAAATAAAGTCTATACAATAATAGAATTATATCTAGTTCAATATTTAAACAAAAGTTTTTTATCAAAAAAGAATTCAATCGAGATGATGAAACTAGAAAATGCATGCATAACTTTAAAAAATCTGCAATAAAATAACTACTACTTGTAAGTAATGTAATCAAGTCATACTGCATAGAAGTCACTTATTCTTAACTTCCCAACGCAAACAAACGTTTTTATTTTGAATCTTTTTTTTAACGTTCTATCTTCAATGTTAACTACATTTAAATCTATACATAATTTGTGTATATTATTTCTCCAGGATTTAACAGACTATCATTTGGCCAATCCATCATTGACGTTTAGTGTTTCCGATCGTCTGCTGATCATGCAAGTAAGGGAAAAAAATTCTTAATCTTTCAATCAATTTTATTTATCCTTAATTGTTAATTTCAAAAAACAACATTGTTATTTCAAAACTGATGTTAATTTCGACTGTTTTTCCAAGTGAGAAAATGTTCATCCTTGCAATGACTATTATCATTCCAAATGATACATTGCCTAGACGGTCATTATATCAATTTTGAGGTGTTTTGGCGATTAACCAATTTATCTAGTGACGAATTAGGTTTTAGCGCTATAAAACTTTATATTCAATGTGATGACTACTTTTTATGAAGTTTCTAATATAGAAATGTATTGAGTCATCAAATAGTAGTTAACTCATGTGTGCATTGATTAGTTTATTTTGTTCTGGAAATCTAAATATTTTCAAGATAATCACATCAAAGTTTTTATATGGGATTCAAAATGCGATTTCACATTAACAAAGGTTTTTTTTATTAGATTGATATTAAGAGGTATTTAGATTGCAGAAAGTTTCCACCAATTGTATAATAGAAATATGATTTTAAAAAAATAATGAAATTTATAGATTTTAATGGTAGGTCTATGAATATATTTACTGTACTAGATTTTTAACATATGTAACAGAGTTTCTAGCTGTAACATGATTTATTATGGCTCAGTCGCTTTGCAACATACTGTAGGCCATGTCTTTCGAGAACAAATGACCACTTTTTAAAGTAAACATAGGTTGAATAAAGCAGAGGGACTGAATTTTTTTTTTAAGAAGGTATTTATAAATGGGCACTGAATAATCAATACTCAGTTTTTATTACAACCATTCTAAATGGTATGCATTAACTAATTTGTGTAGATCTATTCCCAGATGTGTAAATACAAGATAATCTTGTTTATAATTATCTCGATCAAATAACCTAATGATATAGAGTCAAATAAACGAGTTGCATCAGCCTATTTATAAATGAACCGAGTTTGTTGTGAAAAGCAACTGATTATTACAGCTTTTCAAAAGAACTAACTATGTGCTGTTGATCAATTTGCAGTAGTCACTGCCCTTGGAGCCGATCAAGTTGCAGTCTGGCCATCGGATTGAATAACTTAAAATCACACGCACCATGCTTGAGGTCTAGGTTGAACAACCTTATGGTAATGTCATTCACTGTAAGTATGGGTAGCATCGGTTGGAAACTCACAAGCAACAAAATCCAAGTTACTGTTAGTGAACCAGAGTAATAATATCTCGGTTTAAAATAATTAGAATGTAGAAATTTAAGAATCAATTGTATGTAGCACACATGTCTTGAATTTGGAGGTACTGAATTTATCATTACAAGTACTAATAAACTTACAACAGCCCCTCTTAAAATATTCGACTTCTCTTTCAATTAATAATACATAACGAATTGGATATCATTCTTTATGTCAGCAACCATGTCATATATTTAGCTCATAAACTACACGTAATCAATACAATGCATAATTCTGTAATACATTATTGAGCAGCGGTAATCGTCTACCATCATTATTGATTATAAACTGATAATACTTTCGTGAACAGTTAGAATTCGCTAGATTGTATCCTTTTATCTCAAATAATTATTATAAACAGAGTAATCAGTTGTAATTCATTCAGTTCAAAAGCTCTTGAAACAGTTTATAAAGACATTTTTGACATAGATCATAATTGTATAGATTCCAGGTGAAAAGTTCAAACTTACCAGGTACATTAAATATGTATACTACTTAACAGTAGTCCTAATGACTTTAACAAATAAATACAATTTATGTAGCAAGAGAAACCCAATATATTATAAAGAAAAAATTAAAGATAATTCGGTGAAAAATAAAAGATGGGTAAATAAAAAATGTTCTTCACTGAATTTATATCTTTATATTTTGAAAAAAAAACCCCAGTGTACAGTTTTTACGATACAAACTTTTCTATTTTTAAAGAAAGTTTATATAAAGTGTTATTATCATTATCAGCAGTTACAGTTATCATCAGCGATTGATCAATGGCAGCCTTAAACATCGATGGCGAAGTTTCAGATAAGCAATGCAAATGAATTAGCTCCATACAATTGTTAAATGTTTCTTTAGTAGGGTGTTGAAATGCAGAATAAGCTCAATAGTTTAGGTTCATCAAAATTTTAATGTGAACTGATGATACAGAATAGATAGAATATGTCTGACATTAGAATCCGAGACACGCACAATACCGAAGGTCCCGAGTTCGAATCCTGTGAGGTGCAGGAGTCGTGGATACGCACTGTTGATGAATCCCAAAGCAGGACGAAACGGCCGTCCACTGCTTCCAGGTTTCTAATGGTGGTCTAACAATTATTGATTGATAAATGCATATCATCAACAACAAAAGAAAACTCATTAGGGAATCATTATCAATTGAATCGCCAGAGAAATATTCTCATCTCCCTCGTAGAAGAATTCAACCAAAAAAAATTAATATCATAGCGAATAAACAATATGTTCAGATCAATGCTTAGTGGAAACATTGTTTATTTTGAATACAACAAGAAAAACAATAACTATGATGACTAGACTAGAAACTAACAGAAACGCTGAATTGAGTCAACTATGGCATATATATGTAACAGAAATATAGATGAACACTGGGTGTTAACATTCATTCCTTTACTGATTTTTTCATAGATGGCTTTAAAGTGTTCAGATATAAGTAATCCTTGTCGAGTTTGGTCAATCTGTAAAGAATGGGCCATACGTGTTTGTTCTGAATTATTCTGTCAAGGTGATCGAGAACGTTTACAATGGTCATTACAGCCTATACCAACAATGGATCGCACAAAATATACTTTGTCAAAAGTACAAATTGGTTAGTCTATGAGGAATTTCTTTTTTTTTTTTGTTTCATATTTCCGTCGGATATGTTTCAATTGGTTTGTTATTATTAAATAACTGTATTATTCACAATGTTTTAACTGACAACAAATCACATTAAATAATATTTAAAAAATTGACTAATTGCTATTGAAATATAAAAATATCTCTATTCTAAATCAGTAGGTTTTAATTGATGTTAGCTAAGAGAGTTAAAAAACACTCTTATTCACTGTTGTGTAATGAATATAAGTGAATGATTGATCACAGGGTTGAACAGATTCAATCTTAGATAAATTGCTTGGCAATGCTTACTGAATTGATATTGACAAGCAAACATTATGCGTTCGAAAATAATCAGTAAGAGTATTATTATTATTATTATTATTGTTATTATTATTATCTTTTAAATAAAAGACTACAATCATTGGTTGCACTTTAAAAGTTAATCAACAATGAATGGATATTTAATTTGAACCAGGCGGCTTAATTACTTTTCCTCACATCACATATGTTTCAAAGATTATTTGAAAAAAAGAAAACACAGAACAAAGCAAAGCAAATTACTTCCATGTTTGTTACTAATTATATATATAATATTTAAATTCTCTTAACACTTTTTACAACAAGTTTATCAGTAATAAATTTGGATTGCTATTTTCCAAATATCTTTTTTTTCTTCTTCTTCTTCTCCTACCCTTTCTCTACAGTTGTTTCATTAATTTCAAATCTGACAAAAATTTATGAATAATTTTACAATTGTATTATTCTCATTTCGTTTTGATGGTTTTTTAGTTTATAAGAAGCTTTGTGTGAGTGAAACAAGGCTGATAAATTGATCTTCTTCATCTTTTATCTGTCTTAATTTTTTTGTTTAAATCTATGAAATTCTACTGACTGTATGAGATGATTTGCAAGATTACGTTTTGTTCAAGAAATAGGTCCCGCATAAATATTTACCAGTTAATTAATTTACTTTATAAAACCGTTTGTAAATGAACTTAATTCAAGCAATATTTAGTTGTCAAAATCATGAACCAAGTCAGAGCATCATTGAGAAGTTGGAAGCACTAGACTTCTATTTCGTCTTAGAATCGGGATACACACCTAGGATCTATGATTTCGCACATGAAGGCTTCACTTCTAGAGCTGGCACATTTGGTTGAAGTCAGACAATAACTCAGTTGGTTCGCGGTTCAGTGGTTTAGAGTATAGGCGTTCGCTTATGAGACAGCTAGCTGATTACGAGTTTGATTCCTGTGTGCGAGGTTGGGTATGCACACTACTCAGTGAGTGGTCTAATTCTAGCACGAAGTGACTGTTCAGTGTTTTCACGTTTCCAATGATGGTATGAATTTCAGCCAACACATACTGACGATATTTATTTCCTAAATTGAAGTCTGTTCATAGCATAGTTATAAGTAAGTGGTACCATTTTTTTTCTACTAACTTAATAATAATATGCTGACTATGACTCAAACGTTTTATTTCATTGTGGGAAACGCCTAAATGACAAATACATTCATATATACTATTTTATATATATACGCCCATCTGCTCATTCATTGAGATAAGTTAGTCAGTTTTACGCAAAATATAAGTAAGGAAAAGTCTTAAATGTTATTGTAATAATAATGATAATAATAATAATTTAGGAAAGAATTCATCTACTTTTTTTAAGGACAACTTCATAAAAGGAAGAATTGTTTTTAAAACATAAAAGTAAAAGTCTTTACATTGATAATTTTATAATTAATGGAATCTATTCAATTGAATTGAATTGAATTGTATTGTATCAAGTAACAAATGAAAAGAAAAAAAAGAGTACATGAATAATGGGTCATTTTCTTTTTGCAAATGGATGTAAACAATCGAGGTTGTTTGTTATTGACAAGTTAACAATACAATATCAGAGTGAATGATTTGTCTTATAATGAATAAGGTGATGAAATCAGTTTTGCAACTTGCAACTATGACACAGATTTTCAAGGGGGAAAAAAAGTACCAAGAAGTGTTTACGCCATACACAGACAAGTTATTTATAATAGATAGTTTTTGGCTAGCAATGGAATTCAGGAGACTCGTTTAATCCTGTTTAAGATATTCCAGCTGAGTATACCTGTGTTGAAGTTGACTACGGTGCTGGAACCGATTGTGTTACGTTTCATATGTGTTCACTGGTCACGGTCTTTATATAATTACTATTAGTCATAACCCGTTTATTCTAAATAAACTTCTAACATAATGGCCAATATCGAGGCAGCAAGGACTGGCTGGCTACACATACACTGACAAAAACTGACTTAAATTTTATTAAAAATGTCCTGAGTATTGAATGATTCATATTTTTCATTTATGGATTTCGATGACAAATTCAACTGGTAATTTTTTTTTGACATCATTCATAAACTTTCAAATGTTATTCACCCGGACGGGTTTCAGTTGATAAGTAAGAAAGTACTTGTCTTCAATAGTCATCACTTAACCTTATAACTTAAATATGAATAGAAGAAGAAGAAGAAACTTAAATTAAGTTATAGTTCTTATTCAAGAAATTCGTAACACTGAGTTTGATTTGTTTGCAATAAGGGCAACATCCTGACTAATAATATTGAAAATAGATATACTTGTAGTCGAGTTACATTCATAGTTCATTTTTCTCTCTGATTATTAATCTCAGTTTTATTTCCTACTTTTCGCACATTTTATTCACTTTTCCTATTTCCAAATTAATTTTATTAAATTTCTTCTTGCTGCTTCGCTTTCCTTGTCTTGATAATGATTAACTTTATTACTGTAGTTGTGTGATGTGTGTTGACCTGAACCAAAGACATTAAACTTTTTTTTTTACATAGTTTTTAGCTTTATCTATGATTAACAACTATCTAATTAATTTGTAAAACATATAACAAACTCTCTTACTCCTTATTTATTGTTAATTCATTCCTTTTTACCGACCACTACAATTTACATTCATTTAATTATTTTAACAAAATTTATAGGATTTATTAGAGATATGGTAAAACCATTATTAACTGGATGGCATGAATTTTTTCAAAATGATCTTACATTGGAAATTCTACAGAATTTAGATGAAAATTTAAGAAAATGGGTAGCTGAATTATCATCATCAGGAATGCATTACTATTGTAATCCTCATCATTCAATTGACAGTCAATCAACATCAATATTATCGTCCGTTAATACAAACAGTAATAATGATACTACTAACACTACTAACACTAATAATAATAATAATAATAATAGTAATAATAGTAATAAATCTATTACATCACATCACCAGAAACTTATTAAATCAGAGGTTAGTTGTTTAAATTTATATGATTATTTATTGTTATTATAAATTCATATTTTCATTGGAGAGTTGTGAAGATTGTTGAGTTTCATTAAAATCATGAATCGGCCATTGGTAGACCACCACTAGCAACCAATCACAAGTGACTAGCTTTGTGAGGAAATTTCTGGAGTTCTAGTGAGAAACCGTCACCAGTAGAATTCATCCCTGTAGGGTGTTAGGTAATTAATTACCCAAGTAACACAAGAGATAATCGTCACGCGATGTCGTGGATGAACTAAATTTAAGCAGCGACATCGCTGGATGCCGACTTAGTGGTCTAGGTATTCAGCGTTCGTGCACGAGACCTAAGGTCCAGAGTTCCGATTCCGCTGTCATGATGGTGGATGTGGACTGCTGATAAGTTCCATACTAAGTCGAAACGACCGTCCAGTCGTCCAAGATTTCCAACTGTGGCCTCACATTGATCGATTCATGATTTCAATGAAAAATGTTAGTGTTGACTAGAATAATATAAAGTGTTAATTTGAATAAGCTTTTGTGTTAAACTAAATTGTAAGATTAATGCTCAAAACCAATGTGGATGCAATAAGGTGAGAGAAATAATAATGCAATCGAAAATTTGACCAAATAATTTGCTGTGGAAGACTTATATTATGTATAAAGCTATTTGAATTTGATTGTAAGTGCAAAAATAAGAAGAAAAGAAATCCTTGAACTGGCAAGTCTAACTAAAACACTACATTTATTTTTATAGAAACAAACAGTTTTACGAATCTTCGCTTGTTAAATGTAATTTATTTTTCAAATAGTAGCAATAGTTAATGCCAAACCGTATCGAGTTGAAATAAATTAAAGTTAGCGAATAAGGTAAATTATAATTTGTGTACTTCATTTACTCAAAACTCTCCGAATAAGTAAGTAAGTAAGTAAGTAAGTAAGTAAGTAAGTACATTTTTGTGTCAACCTCCTTACTTTATTATTGTTGTTCGCTTCATTTTAGCTATTGGACAAAACAAGTAACTTGCCAAATGCTTTCATAGCACCCGTACATGTGACTAATACGCCAATTCAAGAAACCGAAGCATTGGACCTATATGAACCTATTGATACTAAGAGTAATTTAACTTCAGGAAAATTACAACAAACCATTTTTCTTACAACACATGTGATTCGTCGACATTCACTGCCGGAAACTCGATTAGCCATTAAAAAAACCATGGATTTTTCTTTATCAAACAAATCAAGTACTGTTGTTATATGACAAAATAAAAAAACAATGATGCGCAATTTTATGTTATCCCTGCAGTCAATTTGCCAATTGTGATAGAAAGAAATCACAAATGTCCAACTTCAAATGCTCAACCTCATTCACTACGTGTACCAATCACATCAGTGAACATACCACATATGTGTTCTATGAAGAATTAAAAAATAAAAACATGGGCAAAACACCCGAATAATAAAAAAAGTCAATTGTAAAATCAAAAAATTCAACAGAAATTACGATTAGTTGTTGAATAAAAGAGAAAGTTGTGCATGAACAGTGGTGCAATGACACAGGCTGTATATCAATTCACATTGATTGTGATTGTATTGAAATTGTTGATAATGTTAATAATAACAATAATAAGTTATATGGTTTTTTATATGATTTAATTGTTTCATGTGACCGACCATTTGAAATAGGGAATATTACGTAAGGAGCTGTTAATTTTTAGCATTACCTTGAAGATAAGTAACATTATTTATCTTATTATGCAGTTTCATTATTGTGTGATATTCTCTTCAACGTATATGATGTTTGCAAACATGTAAGTGTACAAAACAAACATGACAATATATTTGGCTGAATAGAAGTTTGCTTTTTTGCATGCTGTTAAAAATTTTGTTCAAATTAACGTTTGTCTCCGTGTAGAATTATTATATGTAAATATGTAAATATACATTAGTTTATCGTGCAAACGAAGTGTTTTTCAAAGATTATTATTTTGAAATACAGATGATTTGAAAAATTGAACAAAATTCTGACATTGTTATTACCAGTCAAGACTAATCTATCCATATACAAGTACAGAAGACACTTACAAATCCAAAACTGTTCATATTATTGTCATTAGAAAAGAAAAAAAAGGATTCATAAAATGACATGTTACGGAAGTTGATGTTTTTTTGTCAACAGAACAAAACAACTATCAAATCAGCATGTACACTGGCACATACACAAACTGACAAACAATGTACGCAAACTTAATTGTGTTTTCCGTTTTTTTTTCTTGCCTTCTTTCTTCAGCTACCGATGATTATTACAATTGTGGATGTAAGGAGTGCATTTCATCCAGTACAAATAATTTATGCAGTTCAGCTATGCTTCAAACTTCGTTTTGTTGATCTTTTCAGTGATATCTGTGCTAATTTTTATTGAACTGTTGCAATCAGTGAAATGGCATTGAAATCGACAAATTAATGGTTTGTAAAAAACGAACTCTATAATTTTCAAGTGATTACTTCCCTTTCATGTTGATAATGATCTATTTTGTTGAAAAATTACACAAATATATTTATATATATTTATATTGGCAGAAAAAAGATTGGCTAAATAAATAGGTTAGGTTTGCACACTACTAGTGCCCATACAAAACGAAGTTTGGATCATAGCTGAATTGTATTTTGTTCTGTTGAAAAAAGAAACACCAACTTCCGTAACATGTCATTTTATGAATCCTTTTTTTTTCTTTTCTAATGACAATAATATGAACATTTTTGGATTTGTAAGAGTCTTCTATACTTGTATAAGGATAGATTAGTCTTGATTGGTAATAACAATGACAGAATTCTGTTCAATTTTTCAAATCATCTGTATTTCAAAATAATAATCTTTGAAAAACACTTCGTTTGCACGAATGTATATTTACATATATATACATATAATAATTCTACACGGAGACAAACGTTAATTTGAACAAAATTTTTAACAGCATGCAAAAAAGCAAACTTCTATTCAGCCAAATATATTGTAATGTTTGTTTTGTACACTTACATGCTTGCAAACATCATATACGTTGGAGAGAATATCACATTAATGAAACTGCATAATAAGCTAAATAATGTTACTTATCTTCAAGGTAATGCTAAAAATTAACAGCTCCTTACCTAATATTCCCTATTTCATCAAATGGTCGGTCACATGAAACAATTAAATCATATAAAAAACCATATAACTTATTATTGTTATTATTAACATTATCAATAATTTCAATACAATCACAATCAATGTGAATTGATATACAGCTTGTGTCATTGCACCACTGTTCATGCACAGCTTTCTCTATTATTCAACAACTAATCGTAATTTCTGTTGAATTTTTGATTTGACAGTTGATTTTTCTTTATCTCAGATGTTTTCATTGGTTTTCTTTGTTTTTATAATTCCCACCTGTTTATTCTTCTATTATTCAATTCTATTCAGGTCTTTTTATTTTTATCCTAACAAGTTTATGCTGAAACATTGAGCGATAATGATTTTTGTGACGTTAAATATTGTATTCATTTGACAAGTTAATATTTTAGAAATTTCAATCTTACTGTTATATATATATATGCATATACATATACTACGACGATAATAAATTATTTTAAATTGAGAAACATTTGTTTTATAATTGAAACCAGTGGGAATTCGTACATTATTTCATTAATCCAATCATGGTACTGATCTTTAAAGGTATATTTTTAAAATGTTATCAGAATTTATAAGTAAAGCCTTGAAGACAGCAATTATTTACATATATACGTGTGTATTAATCACGGGATACATTTCTTAGTCGTAAATCATTGTTTATACACATTAGCACGCATATAATATAAAATAATATATAAAATCATCCTTTATGTGACTCGTCAGCTGGATGTACATGCTTTATCCAAATTCTTTCCTATAACCATATCAGTATCATACAGAGAAGTTAGCAGTAATCCGGACTCAATGCCTAACTCATCCGTCATTTGCGGCAGAAAGTGTTAGGGTTAAATTTGCAATATGGATATCAGCGCTTTGATACATTGCATAAAGTCGAAACTCTTGAACAGGATACAACGCGCCTTCCTAATTTTGCTGCTAGTCCCAGTGCATTTATTCAATCAGTTAGTTTTTTTTTTAAGTTTCAGATGAAATTCATCTAGTACACTGTATGCAGAGAGATGTTTCATAGTTAAATATATTACAAATATTTTACTGGCGTTTTGCTGGCCTATACATTGACAATCCTAACTGTTTTATTAAATTCATAAGACTAGTAGAAAAAATAATGTCTCATTCAGTTGTATCAAAAACAATAACAAAAAATAAAAACATCCGTAGACGAACAACACTTCTTAAGTTTTTGCTGAAAATAAGATGTAAAATATGCACGATGTCTTTTTTTTCATAACAATTGTGTAATTCCTGTTGAAACTGTTTACCGCGTTCCAGTCAGTGTTATTTTTATCCTAATTGTTAGTGAGTGTGATCAACAGCGTTGATTGTTTATGACAGACACCATGAATTTTTAATCAAACATAAAAGATTCATTTTTGTCTAAGTAGTTAAATTATTGACGAGTTTTATTCATTTCTTGATATGATTGAAATTGGTAAAGGAAAGAGTTTCATTTTTATGTAAATGGATAAAACTTATGAGTAATTTGAGCAGTTTCTGTATAGATTTGTTAAAATTTCTTCTAACTTTTATGGTTTTCGTGTTAACTGAAAAAGTAACTAATTAAGTGAATTGTTAAGAAACTTTTGATTTTTCAAAATCACCAAGCGATGTATTTTATTCGTTAGATGTAAAGTGATTAGAGGCGAAATACAGCGTACCCTTGACACCGTCTCCACGTTAGTTTAGACTTGTCACGTAGATGTATTTATAGTATTGAGGAAAAATGAAGTTCGTGAGTGAGTCAGTGACCGAGCGTCACTCGTTAAAAACTTTTCAATTTAAAATAATTTCAATTATCGTTTGCTCACTAGTGACTGGCTTCGTGAGGAAATTTCCGGAATTCTATTGAAAAGCCATGACCAGTGGAGTCAGATCCTGTCGAGTATGAGGCAGTTACCCACTGAAGGTAATGGATTGTGGTTATGCAATAATGTATCTGAAGACTACTGAATTAACTAACTAGTCGCTAACATTTGCAACTTTATTTTGGGGCAGAGTTTTGGAGATTTGTGTTTTTACACATTTGAAATCATCAATTAATCATTGTTAGACCACCATTAGAAACCTGGAAGCAGTGGATGGTCGTTTCGTCCTGGTATGAGACTCATCGGCAGTGCGCATCCATGACTCCTGCTCATCGCAGGATTCGAACTCGGGACCTTCGTTATTGTGCGCAACTTTAAGTAATTCACAAAATAATAGGACTGTTGTTAAATCCCGAATTAACTGACCAGTGCCGCCTGGTTTTCAATAATCTTTCATGTGATATCTATCTGTCACAAAAATACATATAGCGATACATAATAATACTAATAATCTTTTTAACTCACTAAACTAAATCGTTTTATGGATAATTTTTCACGTATCTCAGAGTATTTATTCATTGATGAAAATGCCATTTAGATTATGATCCGATGGAAAATGTTCAAATAATCATGCATTTAGCAAAAGAAATTTTCAAAAATTAATTCTGAATAATGCATTGAATTACCTTCTTAGTTTTATAAATCAAATTGCATAATAACAGCGCTGTTCAGTATTATATGACAAGCCCACTTGTTTTCCTATTATTATTAGTTACATTGCATGCAGTGTGAAAACGGACTCCATGACAGACTGATTAACATTCAAATGTCTAAAGTGTTCTGTTACGACTGCAATTAGGGAAAACAAATTAAAACTTGATCTAAATAAAATTAGTTACCGTAGCATTCCTCGCCAGTATTACATAATATTGTGCATATCACTCCACTAACAATTTATCGGCCTATACACTTGGGACTACTTTTATTCACATGGTCGATGAATTGCGGTGATATCTATCTTCAGAAACCTTTTTTTCACAATAACTGAAAGTCCGATAAATGGGAACACACACTTCGATATTATTTCTGATTCATAATTGATGTGACTGACAGTGAACACAGAACCAAACCACATCATGTCAGAATTTAAATTTTCTAATCGATATTATAAAACAGAGTAACCTGGTAATATTTGTCCACTTGTCATTGTTCATTAGCTATAGGTATGAAAATATTAGTGATTGGGAAGAAACTGTACAAAAACGAAAATATTCAAAATGTTTATGATAACAGGTCTTTCAAGAAGATTGGATAAAAGTCACGAAAGAATCAGAACTGAAGTTTATATTTTTCACTATTTTTCGTCTCTTCTTATTAGAGATACCAAATTCTTTAAATGTAGTAGTCGCCATTCGATTTACTGACCCGTTACAAAGTCTTTTTATCCACGACTGTCTGTATTATGAAGTGGCTGAGGTTATAACTTGGGTGTTTAGAATCATGTCGAATGATCCACTGACTACAAGAGATCTTCAGATTACCAAGGTCTTCATGAGTTGGGTCATATACTTACATTCTATCGGAAGTATATGTTGTGAATAATGGTCAATGTTTTTCAGTTACCCTACTGATACTAGTCTCCACTGTAAAACACACGGAAAACTAGCTGTATATTTACTCAAAACTTGAGTGATTGTTATTGAATTATAATTTTACAGATGAATTCATAAATTGTGAGTGAGGAACCCATGAAAACCACAGAGGAAATATTTAATCACAGAATCATCCTTTGATTAAAAATAGAACAACGAAAAAAAAGAAACATCATTTTAGCATTTAAAAATTCCTATTTAATTTATTTAAGAAAATTTGAAAATGAAACTAAAGAAGCACTTTTTCAATAAAATTTTCGCTATACTGTGGTTATTGGTTACTTTTTATGATTGTTTATTGAATATTGATCTGTAGTGAAAACAACAATGTACACTTTGAGACATTACAACATTAAAACACAGATCAGTTCATACAATCCATGTAGTGAATGCAAACAAATCAGCAGCTTATTCTACGTAATCTGATAAGGTTGTTTTTAAGAATGCTTAATTTTATTAGTAGTTGGTTGTTGGGGACGTTAGATTCGCAGAACTCACTTGGATAGGTCCTGATTTTGTAATTTTGTTCTGAAATTTTGAATTTCCATGTTTTTGCACCGGCTGACCTTGAGCTTACATTTCCCCCTCGAAAAATCATTGACTATCATTGGTTGATGGATTATTTTAGTACGCTGTTTCGTGGTTCTCACTAAGGACGTTTCTATGATTGTATAAATGAGCTTGATTTTTGTGCTTAGACAACTCGTATTTCCTCTGTGCTTTCTACACCTAATCAAGATTTCTTGATCTAGTAAGCCGGGCTGGGGATAAACGGATTAGAATAGCCTATCGTGTCATTGAGTCATTACTCCTTGTTCCGTTTACTGAGTAAGGTGAACTCTTAAAAGTAACGAGCATATCAATAGGCGAGTATATCATTCGTTTGCTTATCATGTTCATAGTATATAAATGAGAAAAAAGTTATTTTGGATTATACTATCATCTTCTACCGAAATTGAGATATATAACCTAACAAAATATAATTTAATAGAGTTTCTTTACCTTGAAAATAAATATATTTGATTGGAATGTTATTATTTTTTTGCATATTCTATTTTTTTCGTTCAAATATTCTGATTCATGGCCTCATAAGTTGTTCTCTTAATTTAAATAATCTCATAAACTGGAAAAAAGAAAAATTTTGTTGACCCATTTATTTTGTAACATGAATTCCAACACTGTAATAGATGATAAATATTCTTCATAGAAAAAAAGGTTTTCACTCGTCTCCACCACACATAAACACACAGAAATGAGAAAAACTTTCCGATTTTTTTCTCACGGAACGAAAAACTCTATTGTCAGAAAGTTTTTTATGTAAATGAACAAGTTGTTGTGATAAATTTTTTGTTTGGAAAGTTAACAAGACCTTAATCTTATTGTACGTAGTCATATGAATAGAAATTGAAGCAATGAATATAAGTTAAGTTAGGGAGAGAAGTTGTACAGTCATTATTTGATGAGAACTCTTTTCACATACAACTGGTATGTGTATGAACAGTCTAAATAAATATAATTTCATGATTGATAAGTTTGAAGTTGCAGTTCTCAAAGTTTTAGAGTAAAGTTATCATTGGTGGAATTCCATTTTTATAGTTTAAAACAAGAACAGATTTTAACTAGAGCACCACTGAGAACTGTTTTGGTTTAGTATGGTACTCTTAAGCAGTTCACATCTATGACCAAAACTTTCGGTTTCACTGATGAATCTTCAACCTCCACACCTCTGTGCCGGCATCCATCGATATTAGTGTCCAACTTCGACCGACTAAATACAGTGCGAATATGTTCAAAATTGTTTTGTTAATTTGTTGAGGCAGAAAAATTTGTTGGATTCAACTGTTATCCTACTTACAAGTAGTTACAGTAATTAAATAAAATTATTAAAAGTTTTGAACAATTGTGAAGTTCGTATTTTTATACCTGAATCAATAAACCTCGAGAAGATATAATTAACTAAACTATTTTATTTATTCTTCATGAAACGAAA